ATTTCTAATGTCTTTATTATGAGAAAATATTTATCTCAGGCGATAAATATTATATAACGTCCCGTATATAAATTTTCTCAGATTTGCTCATATAAATTGCAATTAGAGAATCCAAGGTTGTTTCAAAATAGGTTATCCTTCTACAATTATTACGAAATCCCATTCTTATCCCAAACATGGGACGAAGGCTCTTTCCACAATGTCGATTGGTTATACGCTGCGACTTGCTGCGTGTCACCACGTACAACTGTCAATATTAGAATCGAGTGACAATTTGACCAAATAGATTCTCCTCTCGTTTTATCTCCCTTTCCTTTCCTTTTATTCCCTCCCTCCTTCTTCCTCCTTATCGCAGAGCTTGATAAGGGCACGTCGAGCTATCCTCGCGTCAATTAGCGCTCCGGGGGAATTTCGATACCCGGTTCGGCGGGGTCCAGTTCGCGCCTCGAGGAGCGTCATCGCCATATTACAGCTAAATAATCTCCTTTATCGTGTCCCGATTAATTTAAAAATATACTCGCGTTAACGGCGCGCGTACGGCATATCGAGCGAGGATATTACGCGCGAGGCGAGGTGGTGGGAAAGCAGGGGAGAATGCGCCAAAAGATCCTGGCGAAGGACATCCTGGCACGGCCGACGGGATCACGCGCGCGAATGTTACCGCGTGTAAACCCCGTAACAACGGCGGAGGAGGACGCGCGATCGGGGCGTGCGTGAAGTCAGCTTTACGACAATATAATTTTGGTAGCGACACACGGACGCAGTGGAATGCGACGGTCGGAGTCAACGAACGGCGTATAGAAGTCTTCGATACGTCGTAAATGGTCCCGATCCTACCTCTGCTGCGCTCTCGCCCTCCTTCATACTCGCAGCGACGAGCAGTACAGGGTGTTTCGCGAAGACTTCGAACTTCGTCTCCGAATTAGCGAAAGAGTTTTTGAATGCACGATGTATCGTAGAGTAACGCGACGGATTAAAAATTAGAAGATTTTTGCCCCATCAAGTCAAAATTTGGATGTTACTTGCTAAATTAAAAATAAGATTTTGATGAAAAACTATTATGATACTAAGTTTACGAGTGATTCCTTTGATGAATCACTAAACCTAACCTTCCTAACCCTGTCAACTGCAATATTTTTCACCTATGAATGATCCCAATGTATCTCACAGATACACCAATTTTTCTTTTATTTTCCTCTGCTTCTTGAAACAATTCTTCTTTCATTGTCAACATTTCGCTAACAGACCAGACAGTAAAATATATAAAAAACAGTGAAGAACAAAGGGAATAAAAGAAAAAAAACAAGGACAAATTTGACTTTGCGATTGTATAATAATACGTTGTAACCTGAACGTGTATCTATTGAATATTGCGATCAACGGAAAATTAATATCATCATTGAAAATCCGGCATCCTATGGATCAACCATTTTAACCCGGCAATAGTTATCTTTCTTTTTTACGCAAACGATTACCTGGGGTCGTTTTATATCCTAACGAGTTTCTACCGGCTCATACTGTGAATAAGTCGAGCCAATTCTTGTTGCACAAATTAGGTCTGTCCAAATGAAAGATAGATATTGATTTCCAAATCAGTAAAAAAACTTACTGCAATGTGAGCTTCTTTTTCTGATCACTGGGGTCTGAAATAACTTTAGACGACTATTCCCAGTTTAAAGGTAATTTTCGCCTACCTAAATGACTTGTAGACTAACAAAAACCTACTTTGACATTTATTAACTTCTTTCATGAGCCTTCAATTCTATCAGATTTAATTTCCATTCGAACAATCTATTTTCACAGTAAAACGACAGAACTTTCAGGATCAAAGCAGAAGTATATTTTATTATTAGAATCTAAATTGTGAGTTTATTTTGTTATCCTAGCCTCCAAGTGTATTATAGAATTAAAAATTTAACATGAAGCCAAAATTTAGACTCGGAACATTCGAACAATTTTCCCACAATATCCTTCCCAAAGGCACTTATTTGCGAATTTTGAATTAAATAGGATTCTGACTTTAAGTGATTTGAATTATCGAGTACCACGCTAAAAATGTAAAAGTCGCGACAGAAAGAATAATGAAATCGCGATCGATTTATAGCACGCGAAACTTAGCGAAACGTCCTGTACACGCGGACGTCGCACATCCAGTCCTGCCTCGTTCGGTGCCGTCGGAGCCGAAAACATTGACGACGGTCTTGTCGCTGGCAAACAAAGCTCGGTAACTCTCTGTTATATGGCTGATCGAAGAGCCTGGCGGAGGTCGAGGTGACCGTGATGGCCGCTTCTTCCTCGAGATACATCCATAAATTTCGGCGCCCGAATATTCCCCGGGAATAGCTTCGACTGCATAGGTCGGATCAATAACCGCATAAAATGCGGGAAGAAAGAGCGGCACGTTTCGCAGTGTTCAGTTTCGGAGCGTGAACGTGCGTGAAATGAGAAGTTACGAATCGGAGATAGGATAAAATAGTGCTTCGCGATCACGTCGCTGTGTTTTTCGTCGAACAGGAATAATGCGCCACTTGCTACTATGCGCGCTTTTTCTTCTATAATTCCAAAACAGTGTGTGTTGCCGATTAAAACGCGAGAAATTGCTAGATTCTTGCGCGAAATATGTGAATTGTTTTGACCGAAAATTAGCTCATCACGCTCGCGTGGTCAATTAGAAGGTCTTACGCTCTATAGCTTAGTAAAGACAGGGACAATGTAATATTTAATCTCGGATTAAACGAAGTCGATGTGTATAATCGATTACTATTTTCACTTAGAGAAAGGATTAGTCATAATAGCTAAAATATGTCTGAGATCGGGACAGATAATGTCGTTGCTACTGTAGCTAAATTTAAATGCTATTTGAATTTAGGCAAAAGATATAACAGATCTTACAATAGTACTAAAATCATATTCACGACAAATCATATTTTCGACTATAAATTTATTGAATTATTTTTTAACAGAAACAGCAACGAAAAGAAGAAAGTTTAATATCGATGAGACAACGATTCAAAGTATTCTACTATATGGAGTTGAAACATGACTGAAGAATATAAGGCAAGAGTAGAAACAATAGAAATGATCGCTACGTATTTCAAGGAAAAATTAGAAATGAAGTAATCAAACAAGATGAGAATGAACTATAATGAAAGAATGAGGTGAGAACTACAATGAAAAGATGAGAAAGAACTATAATAAAAGATATGGAAAAATGCAACTAAAATAGTATGGTGACGTATGTAACTGAGGTAGGAGACAAGACTACCTAAGCGAGTTCTGGAATGGCAACCTACAGAAAGACCGATGCCACCGAGCTGTCGTATAGATCATAAAATTCGAGCTCCTTAACACAAGAGAGAAAAAACGATCCTTCCTTAGATAAGATACCGAGCGATACCGGTGCAATGGTCGTCGGAGGTCGGACCCATGAAGTGACGGAGCGTCTCATAAAGTATTGTTTTACTTTCAGTGCGTTTCCCGATAAAATCGCGACTGGCGGCGGGTCTCGTTTGAAACCGAGAACGAGCTGATGGTCCGTAAAGAGCACGCCGCAGACAGTCCACCTCGGGCATCTGATTATATCGGGTGGACCGGTGCTCGCCCGAAACTCAGCCAAGGGGACTTCTCCCGCAAAAACGGAAGAAAAGGGCAGAAGAGAGAGGAGGGGAAAAGGATGAACAGAATCTATTGTTGCGCTTAATTTAGCGTTAAATTGTTTACATCTCATTAATCGCGGGGGACGACGGTAGGACCTGCTGCAGCGAGACCGTCATGATCAGTCATGGAGGCCGCCGAACCCTTCTCGCCTCACCTGCCCTTTAATTGACCGCCACGGTATTCTTCCGAAACGAGAGCATATTTCGCGCGTCTCTCGTTTCAGCCGCATATGTCGGTTCCACGCTCGATCCGAAAGAGCGAGCTCTCCTTCCTCGTACGTTTCATCTCACATCGATGCAACGACTTCCAGTCGCTTGACTGCGGTAGCAGCATACGCGATTGAGCCATATTATGATGGAGTGATATCAACTAGTTTTAATAGCGCATCAACCGCGAGGGGAGAGAGATAGTCGAATTTCCACTGAGAATATTACGTTCTTATAACGACCATGCGTGTAGATATAATGTGAACAGATGATATCCCGTGGACACGGTGGATAAAACGCACATTCGACATTGCAATTTTTTTTGCATTTCAACTGCAAAGAAGTGCTACCGATGTTACAATACATATTCCTGAGTAACATGCAAAAAGTTTCAGCCATCTTCGCTCATTGTTTGTTAAAAAATTATAAACGAGAGAATTTTCCTAAATAGAACATAGTTTTCTGGATATCGCCAATCTAAAAGCCCTCTGGAAGTTACTCAGATTACACGAGTGAAGGTCAGAGATATCAAAGGTGGTCGCCCACCAATATTCTGGGCACATTTACCGATAATTATCCATAATTATTTAGGGAAATCAGACTAGATCTTTATTCCCACAGTTCGGGGAAAGAATTCCTTTCATGGGCTCGGGTGAAGCTGTGGTGTAACGAATTTAACACATTGCATGCGGGTATATTTCGCCGCGGACTTACGCGTGTAGTGGGCGTTTTTTCGTGAATTTCGCGGAAATATTCAGTAAAATCGCAGTAAATCGATAACTACTTCATTTTTCTCAACGAAACTTTTTTTATTTTACACCTAAATATATGCTCTGCGATTATTTAAAAAAAAAAAACCTACGCACTTACAATGCCCATCGTATTTATACGATACCCGCTCTCCAGCACAAATCTACTAAATACGTATTTTTACGCGACCCGCGCTCTAGTGACAGACTGCAAAAAACGTAGAAGTGCGTTTCCCGCATGCAATGTGTTAAATTGGAATCAACCCCTCTGTCCAGGGATAAAGGAACATATAAGAACAACCAATATCCAAGAAGGTTCAGTGTCAGAGCTCCAAGTCCTGATGATGTAAACTGCAATATCTGCGAAACGTTGGCATAGTGTACTTACCGGTCAGATGACTTCCGGTGAACTCAAAGTCGTCGTCCTGATCCCAGTGCTTCAGGCTCAAGTTTGATAGCGATGTTGCATTAGCGAACTCTAAATTTGCAAAGTGCCAATCCAATATCTGCCGGTCCTTGGATGATAAATAGACGTCGCTTTAAAAAAAAAAAGAAAAAAGAGAGAGAGAGAAAGAGAGAGAGAGAGATATTTGTCTCATCGATTTATATATGAATTTAGTATATAGTATATAGAATCGAAATAATTACCTGGGCGGTGAAGCTTCTAATTCCTGTAATTTCGCTTCGATTTCTTTTTGCTGATCTGACAATTGATCCCATTCCTAAAGCACAAGAGTATGTGTCATATTTCGTCCGTAACTTAACAGCAAAAACGTGTCTTTTGTTAAGTACCTTGCAAGCATTATGGAGATCACGCAACTTGGAACGGAGCACAAATTCCTGCGTTATATCTCGATTCTGTGGCTTACACTCGGACATTTCTTTATACTGCTTATTTAATTCCACCAAACGGTCCATAATAGAGATCATCTGCGATAAAAATCAATCGTAGAAAATATTAGATGAAAAAGGGGAAAAAATGTTTTGATGAAGAGAAACATATTTGTCAAGTGTACATACTCTATGCTGATTAGTAACCAATCGTCCTTGCAACGAGAGAACAGAACGGAGATGAGCTACTTGGCGCTGTTTTACGCCTTGTTCTTGTAAACGTATCACCCACTCGAGTGCTTGTCCCAGAGATACTGGACGTGTGTTAGCACTTTGTCCACCGGATCCAGTACTGCCTACGTAATTGAAATCTAACTGATGTGAAAGATAAGAGGTGGCTTCTAGTAATCTATTGAACTCTCTTTCGACCATTTCATCTTTATCTTTTGGGACCTGCAAAATCATCGTATGCTTAATTTTTATCGTATTATCAAGTTATTCTATAATTTTGCACTAACAAAGATTATCTACAATTTGTGATGAAAAGTATATCGAGTTTTGTTATGCATCAATGATAACAAATCTGACAAATAATCCGCCGCTCTAATAAGACACTCTTATTCTTACCGTTTGACCGTCACTTTCGTACAATGGACACTTTTGTCGTATTTTATGAAGCTCCATATTAATTTGCTTGCTGAGAGTCGTCACCGGATTCCCACCTAATCCCGTGACCACCATGGCTCCCAAATCCGCGATATAAGATGACTTACGAAATGTGGCGATTCGTCCACCAACGCGATCCTATATATACAATAAAACGTCAGAAATTATTTGTAAAGTGCGCTACTTTTGAACGTATTTGACTATAAATGTTAAATGTATATAATATTTAAAAAATATATACTCTTTGGAATAAAAGCACTTTGAAGAAATTGTGAGCAAAGTTCAAAATTTCAAGCTCTTCTATATCTTTCAATAACATTTCCATAACCGTTTTTCATAACCAATTTAAATTTCAGTGACTTTCCTCGATTTTCCAGGCCTGGGCCAACCCTGAATAGTGACATTATTTGAGAAATAACATTCCATACTTACTCTAGCTTCGAACACAATTACTTCCAAGCCGAACTGTTGCATTTGTTGAGCTGCTGCCAAGCCGGCAATACCAGCTCCTATCACAATAACTTTACCCAACTTTTTGGTAGGTAACGGCTGTAATGGGCAAAAATAAATTCTCAATATTTCCAATGTGTCTGTATGTAAAATAGAGACATGGATCTAAGAGTCATGTTAAAACCCGAGTGTATGAAATAGACATGTCGTCAAACTTCAAAATAACAGAGAAAATAAATAGAGCATTTTTACATTTGTTAGATTACCTTAAGACGTTTAAAGACTCCAAAATTTATGAAGCCATGACGTTCTAAAAAAGCATGAACTCTACGAGCGAGTACTGGGTCACTGTTATAAGGTGGTTCAATAGCAGGTAATGCATTTTCGATGATCAACTGTTGTTTTGGATTTTCCAACCAGATTTGCAACTAAATTATAATCATATTAAAAGAGGAGCGATACAATTTCATGGTTACGATACAAACACTTACGAGTCTATTTCTAATATGCAAGAACACTTTCTGCGTTTGTAGTGGTCCGCCAGAAATATCAGGGAAGCATGCAGCTTCGGTGGATGTCAATTTATCGAATGGAAGACGACTCTGAAAGGCTGCGCCTTCTAATCCATTCAATAGTTCTTTTACTGAGTAAAGGAAAAATATTAATAATTTTACGATCAATAGAGAGATTAATAGAAGGAATTAACTAATAAAGTACCATGCGTGTCTTCGTGATCACTGTCTTGATCATCATCTTCTTTAATTTCAGTTTTCGAAGCAGAAGGCACTGAAGCAGGTGTTGTAGATTCGGATTCTTTCCTCCCATCTGTGGGAGGAACTTTCTTTTCTGGAGTTGCTAGACCAGGTTTTGATTTTTCTGTATCTGAAGTATCTTCGTCCAATTGACTGTATTTTTCCTCCATTTCCCTGTATTCCACCTGACCAAACAAATATCATTTCCTGTAGAAACTGCCAATAAATGCCTCACATAGAAATAAAAAATCTTCCTAGATAGAAATAAGCAACATGACGTATAATTAAAAGCGGACAAATAAAAATGGATTACTAGATCAAAATGTAACCTCACTTTGCCATTCGTGGCCAAAGAAATGAAACCTCAGCGTATAACTAAGAAACATAGTGTTACAAAGGAAAGCAGCTCAAATCAGAAAAGACAACGCAATTTTATTCTAACAATCGATGTTGGCATACGTGACCGTAAATATTATTAAGAATAACAAAGAGACCATTACCATGAAAGAACTTGAACGACAGACTAGAAAGATTAAAATACATACCTTCGCTCTTTTTCTGCGACTCATATCGTCTTCCTTATTATATATTGGTCAATCCGTCGAACGTAATCAATGAGATACAAAACGATTCGTTTTGAAGCTTGAAATAACCGGCACGCATTAACCATAGATCAAAGCAATCAACAGGACGGAGCCTTTTACAAGTGATGTACGAGATTTCTAATGGCCTCTGCGCATAGGACGCGAAAATGTTTCCCGCGCGGCAAGAAACGACACGGTAGCCAATAAACTTGCAGCTCTAAAGGAGAAACGATATGTAGAGCTGCGGTAGGGCCTATGGCCACCGCGCATGTAGAAAGGAAAAGGAGAAGAACTCCAGTACGGATAGTCCTGTGGGTGTGCGCTAATGAAGCGGAGTCCTTACGACTGCCCACACGCAGCTGTATTTTTGGTTAAGTACAAACTCAAGTGTAACAAAAGTGTTACAAAAGAAAACGATGTGCTAAAAACTAAGGAACGCGGCGTAGAACAAAATGGCCGCAGCGCAAAACGAAATGGGCGCGACACACCAAAAGATGGCCGCGCAGGAACAAAAATGGCCGCAGCGCGGGACGCAGAAAACAGAACGCTATTTACAGTAGGAGCTCGGCTCGGGATGCACTAGGGTAAACACCGAGGAGCACTCACGAGCACGTCCGCGCTGTCCAGAGTCCGTGAAAGAAGGGAGCGAGCCGGGGCCGTGGCACGGGACGCTTCGAAACAAAATATGATCGCGCCACAGAACACGTGATTGGCCGGTGGGGTCGCCTGACACTCTCGTGGTTCCGGCGGTGCGCGCGACGCGCCGGAAAAGCCGGGTGGCGCAGAGCCCGGTCAGAAGACCGGGCGCGGTTGCAGATCTTGCTTCCTCATGCGCACGGCCGTTCTGGGCGGTGGCGCCGCCGGTGACGGCGGGCGAGGCTCGACCGCCACAGATATATTTGATCTGTTCTTTATAGCTGCACTGCTGATCACCAATGCAGTTATAAATATCAATTGATTGACTACCACGTCGTGCCGCGTGAAAACGTGTTAGCGTTTTCGCGTTAGCCATTCCAGCTTCTACCCACAGGACACGCGACGAAAATTCGCATCAATCAACATACCGTTTTTCAGTAAGAACTAGAAGTTTTTTATTGGCTATCGCGTGAACTCCCGCCGCGCGTCCTGTGGGCAGATATCTGTTCTTTTTAGTTACTCCTTAGGTCTGTTCCTTTTAGCTAAACTTAAGGCCCTTGCACGTAAGAAGGAATACACAAGGACAAATCATAAAAAATATTATTTATTACTTACAGACACGATACAAAAAGACAAAAATAAATATATTTTCGTAATTGATGCGCTGACTTCGCTTGTAAATCAATAACAGGCAATATTTCAATCGCTGAGCTTTCTAATCTCCAGCATCGAATTCAATCGTACCTGATGTAGGCATACATTTTATTTGGATAGAACGCATTGATTAGAAATGATACAAAGTAAAGCGTTCAGCGGAAACGTTCATTGAATAATGATATCACTGCGATACGCACAGGGAAAAAAGAAGAGTTTGGCTGAATCTACTTGATAATGAGCAACGTGTTTCGATTGAAAGAAACAATAAATTTTCTGATTAGAATATAATTTATTATATAATTATAAGATATTTTTCTTTTCTTATTATAAGAACCGAATTTGGTTCATAAAAACGATAAATTCTTTTAATCAAAAAGCGTTTGGTTATCCATTGTTAGATTCAACCAAATTCTTTTTTCCATGCTCACAAATATCAACCGATTTTCCGCCGAAATTTCCACTTTCTCTCCTAAATTCTATGCTTAATCGCTTAGTAGATAGTACAAATGCACATTAAATAAAGTCGCCTCAATGGCAAGTATGTACAGTTTCGGTTCAACACCGACTCGATGAGAACATGTTACTGTCACGAAATCGTTGCGTATAAAATTTAACGAGAGAATATGCTCCCGCGGATTTCGAGCGGAAGTTTCTCGCTTTGACTCGATCGTCCACAAAGTATCCGTACTCGAGTAACTAAATTGAAAAAACCAAGAATTCACGTGGAACAATGAAAATCTAAGGCTCATATACAAAAATACGTGATGTAATCAACAAAGAACGTGAGATAATCATTCGCGGAATAACAAACCTGTTTCAATTCTGATTTTCTATGATATCGAACGAAATACTCGAAACAATACCGTTCACAAAATATAACCTAACAAATCGATATTATTTTAAATGTTTTGTCTAACACAGAAGAAGATCTGGTTTGGTATCAAAACGCTTGTAGCTCCGTAGTTGATTAATTGCACTATTTATTTATTGCACTGAGAGAAAAAATAGCTAAGCAGTAAAAATGGTAGGTACTAATAACAGATTTATTTAAATCTTTCCCTAAATTTTCTCACCAAATAATAAATAAAGAATTGCTTTCATAAAAAGCTAGATTTAAGAAATGTATATTTTTTTTCACTTGAGAACAATTTCTTTCTCAATTAAAAAATATGTATATTGATATGAGAAAATATATTATTACTAGCAACCAATAAATAAATATTTTTTTCGATATTTTTTCTCTCAGTAAACATTACGCGCTACTCTTCGTGCTCTTTCATAAGCCCGTTTAAACCGGATATCCTTCACTTAATTTGAAAACTTGGCCGCCGCGTCTAGAAGAAGACGTTCCCCGGTCGCGCCTGCGGGCACAAGAAGCTAGAGCAGTCGTGTCTCCTCACGGCGTGCATGACCTCCTCGAAATGGCCGGACACGTGAACAACTGCTCCAGGCTGGATTCTGCAAAACGCCGGCGATTAGTTAGTTACTAGCATGATTAGCTTGGAAGGCTCGTTAGAAAGCCGGAGATACACTTCGACAAATGATCGATACCATACGCGGCTAATTGCTAATTACGTGTTCACTGGCTCGTGAATTCTCTGATCCTTCGGCATTCCTTGGCGCGTACTATTAACGATTTCTCGCTCCGATTAACTCGCTTTCTTTAGGGCGGAGACCCCGGCTCAGAGATACCCGCTGAGATGAAGGAAGCATTAGATCGGATCCCCGATTACATTAACACGTTGATCGCTGATTGATCATACAAACATCTAACTAACGATTAAATCACTCTGAACAGCAAATAAATATATAACAAATAAATATAATTATAGAGTACCTCGTTTTATTAGCTCTTTATTGACCGTACAGCCCACATTTTGTACATGCAATTATTTATTAATGCAGGAAAAGCATTAAAACTTGATATGATAAACCGACTATTCATGTTCCTAGGTTGTAAAGTATTGAATTCCGTCGGATAGAACCTGAATTTCATCCACTGGGTATAGTAACTGAAGTGGCAGTATGCAAGTTGTATCTATTATTAGCGTCGTTTGATTTTTCGTTGTGCTAAAGTTCTTTTCAAGTATCTTTTTGTGAAAATTCAAGTAAACAAATCATTGGTAGGTAATTTAACTGACGTTGTTATTTTATAGTGCGAGTTTTTAAAAGCGTTAATAGAGAGAAAGAAAAAGGGAGAGGACTGGAGACAACTTATTTGATTGCTAACCGAGACACTGATAAAAATTCCGAGTCAATTGGAGTCGCGCAAGATCGTAGAGAACTGAAAAGGCAAACGACGAGCTAAGTGAATTATCATGTCGGCATCGTGCGAGTTTTCCCTTCCTCTTCCTTTTTCCGGTATGTTTTCTCCTCCCCCTTCCTTCTCATTATTCAGCCTTTTCCTATCACATGTAGGTAACGCGATAGCAGACAGGGCGCAGTGTGTGCATACACAGTGAAACTATGCTAAGAGGTAAAAGTCGAATCAGTCAGTAGGACGTCGCCGGCGAAAGCTGAAAGAAAGTTATCCACGTTTGGCTATAGTTCCGTTCGACCGGCTGTTATCGTAATGCCTCTCGGAATGCCCGATAGTTAACTGCGACGAGAAGGACGCATCGATTTATCATGATTACGACAGTATTTTTCCTCTATACATATTTTATAAAAACATCCCAGTGACAAGCTATCCGAATGTCGGAGGTATCAAGACTTTTCTAACCAGCACGAACTACTCACAGTCTCAGCAACGCCTCCATTTTTTTCTCCATGAGCACCGCGGCGTCGGGGCCTCTTTCTATCATCGTGTCGCAGAATATCCTTTTAGCGCAGGGTGTATTGGTCCAGTCGCCTTGCACATGAGCGACCTCGGCTACTTCCGCGTTCTCCAGATTCTGCAGCGCGTCCTCCAGTTCCTGGTCGACACTTCGCTTTCGTCGCCTGTTGTCCGTACCGTCCTGAGCAACCTCTTCGCTGATGGCTGTACCCTGCGCGAAATCACGCCGCCCGAGAGTCGCGTTTCCCAACATCGAGAGAGCATCGCTAACCTGTTGTCTGCCTAATTGATGTTCTCTATCGTCTTGCGTCAACGAGGGTGATGTCGCGTCTCGCGAGTTATCAGCTGCGGCGACTCTCACGGTGTTCTCCAACGCGTTCTGTTGATCCAGGTTTTCCGACGGGATCGAGCCGTCGTCTTCCACGACTAGAATGGTGTTCGCACCCCGCTCCTTAATCTTCCTCGACAGCAAAAACTCGCTGATATCGGCGCGTCCAGGCAAATCGATTTCCACAATCTCGCTGATGGAGTCGGCGCCTTTGCGCTGAAAACGCTTGCTGCGTACGAGGTTCCTCAAGTCGCTCTCCGCCCTAAAGATGTCCAGGTAGTCGAGGCTCCTCCTCCTACGTCCGCTAGTCTCCACATAGTGCTTCTCGTCCACCAGCTGCCTGCTCTCACGATTCTCCACTCTCTCGGAGTTTTGCTTGTCCTCCTCGAGAACCAAGAATACTCCGTCGTTTGCAACTTCGTCCTCAGTTTTGTCGTCGTCATGCGACGTTGGGACGTTCCGTAGAAGATACAGAGTCTGCGGCGTGGCTACGTTCTCCTCGAGCCCGAAGGCTCGCTTGTGCTCGATCGAGTCATCCGAGCGTTTCAGAACGTCCACGTCGAGGTAACGACCGACCGCCACCGCGCCTATGCCGAGTGCGGCGCCTGACGCAACGAGTCCCAGAGCCGGTATCAGAATGCTGGTGCCGGGGCTCACCGTGCCGATCTTGTTTTGCGCCTCTTTCGACAGGCCGAGATTCTGCGAGATCTTATGGGTGGCCTCCACCAACGGGTCGATTACCGGTCTGGTGAACTGTGAGACCCGCTCAACGCCGGTGGAGAATTGGTTCTTCAGGTTCTCGGAGATCTTCACCCAGAAAGGTGGCTCGTTCGGTCGTTTCAACCCATAGAAGTGTTGGTTAGGGTAGTAGTTCTTCGTGGTGTAGCTGTCAACGATGTTCTTGTCGTTGAGCACATATTTCTTCTTGTGACGCTGCTCGGTGAAAGAATGTTGATTCTCCGGGAAGTTATCCGGCCGACGTTTCTCGTTCTTCAGGATCTTGGCAGGCTGCACGCCCAACTCGGGGTGGGCGTACTGGAGAACTGGTGCTCGTGCGCTCGATTTCAATGCCACTGGCGCGATCATTTGGCTATTGGAAGTATAACGCTGGGAGATCGGGTAGTTCACAACGCTCTCTGGATGCAGCATCCGCTTGTGAACGCTCGCACGGTACTGCTCGTTACGCGCCTCGTACACCTCTGCCTTCAGAGCTTCGTTCTTGTAATTCCGCGGATCCCACTCGAAGTACACGTTGCGACCCTCCTCGTCGTAGTTGCGGCCATACCTGATGATGCGCAAAGAATAGCAAGATCGCGTGTCTTCGGGAAAAGATATACAAGTGTTTCTATTGATCTCGACGAGCTATGGATAACAAATAAAAATTACAAATCTTTTTTCGCATCAATTTTCTCAAACGTTCAAAACTTAGAGCAATCATCGAAGGAAATCAGATCAAATTCATTGCCTTTGAACCTGTGAGATGTATAGAAAATATATTTTCCATCAAAATATTACGGAAATTCTTTTGATAACCATATATAAAGGTGACTTTTTCTTCGAGGCCTTGAAAAAGATATTTAAATATTTTAGCACCCTTCTGCGGCTTTGACATTAACGTATTCTAAACGCACTTGACATAAGGCAATAATAAACGTAATTCCCAAAGAAGGTAGAGAATACGGTGACTGACGATAATAAGTACGACATTGTATTCGTTATTCAAGGAAAAAACGCCGCTAAAGCATGCGATTTGTTTTTATTTTTGCAAAGGAGCTGTAACACTTGTAAATATTGGTCTGGACATTTTAAACATGGTGATTTTGATGACCGAACTCACTACTTTTACTAGCGTAGAGATTCAGGATACAATTTTGGTGTTAACCAATTATTAATATTTCAACTAAACCTATTTTAGCTCCTATTATGTTGTGGAATTAAACATTTAACATAGAACGAAAATTCCGACTCAGCTTACCTTCGATTGATATCCTTGAAGAATTTCTCGAATTTCAGTTTCTTGTCCGCGCTGTCGTTGGAATACGGTATCCCGACGGTGGACTCGGTACTTGGGCTGCTCTCGGCTATCAGCTTGTTGTTGATAACCCGAGCGTTCCGCCAGGTTTGTATCTTGTCTATGGGCTCATCGGGTACCCTCGTGCCGTGAACCACCAGTGTACCGTCGCTGTCTAACGACATGGGAGATCTCTTCGGCACCGCCTTCACATTAATCTCCGATCTGACGATCACCTCCGGCGGTACGTCTTTGCCGTCTCGGTTTTTAGACAAGTTTGCGCCGATGTTCGTCCTCGTCAATGGCCAGGACTGACGCGGTAGGTACGTGTAATAAAGGGCCCGCTCGTCCTTGTCGCCACGATTTTCCAACTCAAGATTCCTCTGGCTGCGATCCTGAAAGTGCCGAATAAGCAGAATTCCACCGCCGAATCCAGCCTCCTTGAATCTGTCGTAACTCGTCCTCTCCTCGCCTGCGGTATTCAGGCTCGTCTGCAGTGGTTTCCAATTTCGATACTCCTCCACCTCCTTCTGCTCCTCCTCCTTCTCCTCCTTCACCTCTGTCGACTGTTCCTGCTTCAGAGCTCTGCCATCCACGTCCAGCGGCGTCCAATTGCCGTAATCAATCAAGCTGGCCGATTGATTCCTCTCGATATTGTCGTTATTAGTTTCGAAGGATTTGGAGAACGTCGCCCTGATCTGTTCCACTTGAGCTTTCTCGAGTCTCCTGACTTCGTTCTTCTTCTTAACATCGGTTCCATCCCAAGAATCGTTTTTCTTTTCTACAGTAATGCTGGACTCTTCTTGAGGAAGCTTTGGTTTCGAATTGTCGAAACTGATTGACGACGATTTGTCTCGTCGCTTGACGATCAGAGTGGCTAGGTTGCCTTCGCTCGTGCGTACTTTCAGCTCCTCTGTCTCGCCTGGGAGGCTTCGAGAGATTTTCAGCATCGTCCGGGCATAGCTCGGCTTCGGCAACTCACCGTCGCACGCGCCTAATGCTAAGGTCGCGAGAAGCAGCAGCAAGACAGTCTGAAATCGAATTCCACCCATAAATCCCAGTACTTCATCAATATTAAATCGGTATTGGCATCTAGTATTGTTAACTACAAATCGATACGGGGTCAGTACCTCGCCAGCAGTTATTTCCTAATTAGGCAGCTATTTGAGATTCGTCTAGACATTTTGAGAGATGTATTCTCGATCGTCGACTCGGTGACTTGGTCGAGACATGAGGCGACACGCATTGCCTCCAAGGTGCATTGTAACTCTTTCATCCGAAGTTGTGTACATACGTGATTACGGTTGGACGCGATTGAAGCACGGACGCCCAGCATGCGGAATGAGCTTGAAAAGGTTTTCGAAAGTCGACCTTACGAGTTTCTAGAAACACGTAATTCGCACACTCATTTGCATTCGTGACATACAAACGAGTATGCAACGCGAATCAACAGAATGGAGGATTGAAAAACTGCATATATAATCCAATAAAAATCAATTATATTGACAAAGACCCTGCTATTTTAAGTGTTATTATATATACATAAATATACGAGGGCGGTCTGATCAGTAGTAGGATTTGAAATGAAAATTTCAAAATTTCGGAAAAATTTCGATTTATTTTTCAACATAGTCCCCTTTCACTTCTATACACTTCTTTCAACGGTGCTGTAGCTTTTTAATACCCTCTAAAAAGTATGATTGTTCAAACTCTGCCAAATAAGCGTCTACCTCAATGATGACTTCCAAATTCGACGTGAATTTCTGCCCTGCGAGACATTTTTTCAAGTTGGGAAACAGAAAAAAAGTCGCTTGAGGCCAAATCTGGAGAATATGGAAAATGGGTGAGCAGTTCGTATCTCAATTCGACCAGTTTAGCTGTAGAAATTGCGAATGAATGTGCTAGTGCATTGTCGTGATGGACCAGGACTTTCTTCTTTGCAAGATGAGGCTGTTTCCTTTTCTGTCCCACGAATTGTCCCAGCAAATCATTGTAGTATTGATAGATCTTCCCTTGTCCAAATAATCGATGAGGATTACACCGCGGGAATTCCAGAATACCGTAGCCATCACTTTTCCGGCCGATGGGACCGTTTTGGCCTTCTTCGGAGCTCTTTCGCCAGGTCAAATCCACTGTTTAGACTGCTGCTTGGTGTATAGTGATGGACCCACGTTACATCTACAGTCACAAAACAATGCAAAAACTCCGCCTGATTGCGCTGAAACAGCTCCAAACACATCTTCGAAATGACTATCCGATTTCTATCTATCCGACTCTTGGTGACTATCCGGTTTTTGGTCCATGGCGAGCAACCGCGGCACCCATCGCGCCGATAACTTTCTCATGTATAATATATCATGTATGATATGTCCTGTGTATTCTTTCGAGATCTTCACTATGTCTACTATCTCACACACCTTCACCCGACGATCGGCTAATATGATATCGTGCACTTTTTCGGCAAAATCATCGGTAGTAATCTCTTTTGGCCGCCCGGGACGGTCATCATCAACGATGGATGTGCGACCACGACGAAACTCGGCGTACCATCTAAAAATAGTGCTTCTCGAAGGAGCAACACCCCCGTAAACGGCTTCCAATTTTTCTCGGATTTCTTGACACGTTTTTTCATCCAAATAAAGAAAACGAATCACCAAACGATATTGCTCTTTTTCCATATTGACGACAATGACTGAGGCATTCACTTTAAGCGGCTGCCAACAAAAAACTAATGGACGGATAAGATTGAAATTTTGGCAGGCATTGTTTGAAAGGTGGCTATATGATGGTAAAACCGGTTTCGCTGCAGTGGCGCCACCATGCGTAAATCCTACTACTTATCAGACTGTCCTCGTATATATGTATATATAAACCTAATTTAACTATTCTTCTTCTAAATCATACATAATTTTGCATAATTAAATTTTAACTTTAATAAAATAATTTAATTTTCATTCAATTAGTTTAGATAATTTTTAATTATATTAATTATAAAGGCTGTTCAATTTAAAAATAAATTAATTTACATAACCCTGATTAATATTTCGATACAATTATATCAAAGTAGTTTGTTATAGTATTCGCATTTCGGTATTATGACTTTGAGAAAAAAATTGTCCTACTTTTGGTAAATTTTTTTCGGGACAACCAGTCTCGAAATTTCAGCTTTATCTTATAATCGTTCAACACAGTAAGACCTAAATAACAAAATAGTTTCAGTTTCAATAATTTAATTTAATCTTATTTTGTCTACCTGATAATGTCCTCAATTTTCGTTTTCGTAGTTTTTAGTTTCAAAATAGGTTGTTGAAAGTAACAATGAAATTAAATCTACGGAATGAAAAATTCAAGAAAGAGAAGTTCATCAGTATCATTAAAATAGGTTTTTATTATTCTACAAGCCACTTAAGTAGGTGCAAACTTTAAACTTCTTTAAAGTAGTATCAACATTTCAATTCGGGAATACATGTCCATTATTGTTGGCCTTACAGGCCTACTCATTTTTATCAAAAGAAATCGTTTGGTTAGGAGAATTTTGCAACTGAACGAGGATGTCGCGAATTTTCACGAGGAGTATCGGCACGTCACGATATTCGCAAATCGGCCGTAGCAGCAACAGCGCTGACGCGACGAGAGAAATTTAATAGCTCGTGGAAATTGTTGGCATTCTTTCTCGCGATTGGAAAATAGCAATGCAGTAATCGGGCGACGGGTTACTTTCTATTACCAAAGTGACGATTACCCCTGACGGGAATTACGTCTGTCCCACGATCATCGCGTGGTGTCAGTCGCACGGATTCTATTTCAACTTTGAATAGCTCAAAATTAAACAGATGCTCATTAATGGGAAATCCGCGGCGCCTTTTCGTTCTTCATCTTCGTATCTTTTTTGTAGCAGGAAAAAGATACACTTTCTAATCGCTCGCTTATATACGAACGTGTGCTTTGGGACAAAAAGTTGGTAAAATGAAATAAAATCACGAAAGGTGGCTGGACCATGCTCCGCCGACAAGTGAAATGGAACGACATGCTTTCCCCGCACACGACCGCGCGATTCTTCGCTCGCGCACACGTACACGCGGCGCATGAGACGATCCACTTTTTCCATCCCGGTGACTTTCGATCACTGATTGTCAACTATCATCGATGCCTGGCACAATAACGAAGCGAAAAGTCGCTCCTTCATATACCGCACGTTGCCGACTCGTTAGGAAATTTCGACAATCGTGGCCAATCGATTGGAAAGTTATCCGATTTCAGCGGAGACTGAATCGCCGATTATATTTTCCCACATATATTTAATAGCGTTCAATCATATCCTCAAATTTGATAAAGAAATAAAAGGCCAATAAGAATCTCTGCAGTGCAATAAAATAAATTAAAAATATATTATACAACACTGATGTGCGAAAGGTATTTATATATTATATATATTATATATTATATATTTGTTCAGATGTTTCCTAACTTGAACCTTCTTCAGTGAAATATGCAATGTAAAGTGTTAATATCAATAATCGAAATAAACAATATGATCGTAAAGTTGTAATAATAAACGAGGAAACGGGTTGGCAGCCTGTACACACACACGTACACTTTACTAATAAATAATCAATTCGGAATTATAAGGTATGTATAGTAAGAGCGTGTGAATGCAAAATAAATATATATTAGCAGGTCGATGAAAAATTAATCTCGGTTAAAAATTAATTTAACAGAAGGATGATATTAGGAGTTTGCAAAAGTTCGCCTCAGTTTAAATTACGTTTCTTTTATTAACTATATGAAATAGGACATGTTCGATTAAAGTATTAAACACCGTTATCCTCACTTTTGGCACATAATTTGTGCCTTCAGGTAACTTCGCATCTGCAAATTGCTGACTCATCAAACCAATGAAATTAACGGCGATTCAATAAATATTTACAGATCTCTAATAAGTGATAAATAATATCTTTATTTTTCCATTGAATTAAATTCTTACGTAACAGCGTTAGTAATGTTAGTTTATCATCTATTCATTCTATGAATATTCAATCCGGAATTGTTTGCCTCAATCACACATATCGTGCATTCTTATGCAAAACAGCATTTTCAAGATTTCCCTTTAACTTTCTCTTTCTCTCTCTCTCTCTCTCTCTCTCCCTTTCTTTCTCTTTCTCTCTCTCTCTCTCTCTCTCTCCATCTCTTATGTTCTCCACCGATGGATTTGAGAAACTGCATCTATGCTGCAATAATTAAGCGACTAAGTTGAATTACCCGCGAACAAAGGAAGCAGCACACCGTTGCGGCGATGGCTAATTCGAGCGAATTTCATTGTTGCAGAGAACGAATCTCGGCTAGTTATTTCGCTAGATGGACATCGGTGTGTTACATTAGAGCGCATCGGACAGCATGGAATCATACAGGCATGCGTACACGCGCATAGAATGGCACCGATGCATGTCACCCCGCGGTTTCCGCTCCAGAAAGTCCGTAGGTCGACGTTAATTACACGGCAATTAAGCCGATCTAGTTCCTCTTTTCTCTCTCTTTCTCTCTCCTCCGATATCCATCGGTGGCCATCCATTCGGAAACAGCTCACGCCTAACGTCGTCAACCGATCGCGATCGATCATCATCACGGTCATACCAATTTATGGCGGAGCGTGAGTATCAGCGGGCTCGATATTCGAGAAATTTAACGCAATAAATCGAACGCATGAAATCGTTGAAATCACGGCTCGTTGTTACGATGATTGTAAACGGAGATAAGATGAAGATAATAGGCGTGCGTGCGTGCGTGCGTGCGTGTGTGACGTAACACAAACCCATTCGTTATTTCTGTCTCGCGTGTTAATTAATCATAGTACACGTCGCTTTGGTTTTAAAGTTCTAAGCTTCCATTCATGAATCTGGCAAGAGAGAGAGAGAGAGAGAGAGAGAGAGGGAGGGAGAGAGAGAGAAATGTAACATGTGATTATTATATTGAGAAAAAAGCGATTGGCTTGACAAAATCGACGATTACCCTTATTCACAAAAACATTATGTTCACTGAACAAATTATGCGTTAGCGCAATAATATGTTACATTCATATAATTGATTAACTCCCAATCATTGAATCAATTAGTAACTTATCACAGCAATTATACATCGAAAAAAATTATTACGTTCAAGTAAATATTTATTTATAAGGAATATTGAAGAAGTTTTTTTTATTTACTTAATCCAAATAATCTAAACGAAATAAACTACTTTAATATTCCTTAGTAAATATTTGCTTGAACATAGCAATTTTTTTAGTATATAATTTGTTCAATAGATTAAACGTTGTGCTTGAAAAATTTATGTTCACTTAAACAAAATTTTGTTGATTTCACCACATTTTTTTCTCAGTAATGTAATGTCCCAAGGACGCCCCATGAAAATAAAAATAAAAATAATTAGTTGCCAATAGAAGGGACAATATTAATGAGATTGGCAGTCTTCCTCTTGTGCGACAAATTATATTTTAAATTGTCGACTTATTGTATATTTTTCTGGGTGTTTTTCCGATAGCACTCAAAGATTACTGGATCAAGGAGAATTCGGTTTTTTGACAAAATCTCTCGTTTAAAGATATTTGGAAGTTCGCACAATATCCCGTAGAAATCATGTTCCAATATTAAGCGCATCACACATATATTTAGCGATCCGTGAAAATCGGAAGACCCTACCTGAAGTCTTCTTGTCGTCATAGCCGTTTTCGTCATATTTCCTAAATCTTCTTTACAGCAGTCTTCAAAGAAAAATAAAAGGGAGGAAGAAATGTGTCCGGAGAAGCTTCTTCTTCTTCTTTGTATTTTTCTTCCTCTCAGGACTGCATGATCCGCGAAAATCGAACGATCCTGTCCCTTTGGTAAATGTTGTGGTCACCGGAGAGTCCCTTCGCAAAAAAAGGCTCGGAGATGAAGAGAAAGAGAAGCACGAAAGCGACGGCAGGGAAAAGGAAAAGAGGAGACGACGTGCTCCTACGCACCTGTTGACTCCCGGAATATCTTCGCGAGACTGACGGAGGCGCTCAGCCGGCGGCTCCTCGTGCGCCCGAGCGACGTAGGAGCGAGACTTCTCTTCGACCTACTTCTCGCGCCCGCCTTCGCCTTCTTCCGTGGCGGCGCGAAACGTCCTCGCTCAATCCTTCCGGGCCGGTTCTCCTCTTATCGTTAAATATCGAGGGAAGAGCCGCAGGGGAAATGGATGAAACGGCAATCAGCCTGTTACTAATCGCGAATTACAAATACGATTGTCGGTCGATTACAAATTACGTCCGTGATTGCGACCGCAATAACCGATGATGATGATGGTGATGATGATTTCCGTACGAGATTGAAGCGATGTCTCAAGCGGAGAGAAAACTGTGCCATAACCGACAGAAAATCTTTTCGTTTCATTCTTTCACAGCCGAAAGCGGCTCGGGACGCGTTTGATTCTCACGTATTCCAAAAAGCGAGAGCAACGAACAGAGGAATGAAAGAGAGAGAGAGAGAGAGAGAGAGAGAAGGGGAGACCGGTATTTAAATGTATTTTTTAAGCAGATTTCAGTTCTCGGTTTAAATATCACAGTTTGCTAAGACTAACAAGTAAATAAATATGTAATTTACATCTTTTTGGAGATAGATATCGTTCTTTCGATATTTTTTCCTCCCAATTTATAAAAATTATTCTTGAATAATAAGAATATGATATCCTAAGGAATTATATCGAATTTTTTTATATATAAATAAGAGTTATCTTTATACAAGATTATATATTCTTACATATATATATATACATTATATATATATATATATATATATGTTTGAAATTATAATAGAATATGTAAGAAAGGATCAGATGAGAATATGAATTGATATTAATTTTTTTTGTTCGCGTTGATATATTTTTTTGAGAGAATACTCATTTTATTGATTGGACAGACGTGTATGAATACCGCGTGGAGAAGCGTGTCACCGATCGAGAGACAAACAGTGGGTTTCTCGACAGATTAATGCGGCGACTTTTATTTACATTTGTGGAAAATCATTTATGAAAATAACGCGATACTGTTATATCGTGATAATAACGCGATTCCGTTCGCTTACACGAATCACTAAATTGATTACACAATTAATTGATTACACAATTAAGTACATAAAATTGATATATTCGGGACAGTGACTGGATCCTGCTGCGTCTCGTTGCATCTTTATCCCTAGTTTCTTCTCTTTTCAGTACTTTGTCGGTGCTCATATTTTGCGCTTCTTTTTTCAGCTTTCATCTCGTGTTCTCAAATCTAAAAGTCCCCAGATCGTCGAGTTCCACAGTTTTTGCGTAATCGCTCAGTTTTGCGATTCGCTCTTCAATTTATCCCAACTTATCCCATTTAAACTATTTATCCCTGTGAACTTACGGATTTTCCAAATTTATAAAAATATGCTATTTGCAAACATATTCAGGTTTCGTCTCTCTTAAATTGTTAAATATTGTAATTCTCAAGTGAAAATCTCTCTCTAATCTTTCGGCTGTTCATTGTTTCGGAAATTTTACCTTTTCTTGGAACAACACGGCGTTTGACTGTCAAAGTTCGTGTGTTTACGCAAATTAAGCACGACCGTGTTCTCCAGCGACCGCTGGAGAGCTTGTTCGAGATATCATCGTTCTAATTATGATGTAAACAACGAGCACAGTCGAAACAAAAAAATAAACGGACTCTTCTTCTAAACGAGAACGCTCATCTCACTTTTCAGCCTGCTGTTATCTCCTCTTGATCTCTCTTGAATTAATAAAGAAAACATGTCAAGATTGTCCTTCCTCGTCGATTTGTTTCGGGGAAAAGCAACGGCCGCACAGCGTGTTTCGCAAAAAACGCGCCTCATCACGCCATTGTCCATCCCGCGCGGCACACTTCGCCAGTTGAGTTTTAATTAATCAGATCCTTATCGCGAAATTCCGGAGACACGCGGAATGAACTTCGCCGACGGTTCGCAGCCGGTTTGATTTTCAAGTTCATGAACGAGCGCGCACGGGCCGGTTCGAGCCGGAAGAGACGACGTTCGTGAGAGGCCGCGGGGAGTTCAGAGACCCGCCAGTGAAAGTCGATCGGTTAAATACAACGGTGCACACCTATGTAACGTCCTATCCTGCCCGCAGGTACGGGTTTCTCTCTCTCTGACGAAATCTCTTTGATCTCTTTTACCTTAAATCGATAATCAGTTTGGTTTGTGGCGATATGAACGGTTTGGGACGAATAATTGAGACGAGCAATATTACAAAAATGCGTTTTTCTTCCCCCTCCCTTTCCCATTCCCTCTCTGGAGATGTTTAAAATTAAGAAAATTACGGGAGATCGATTCGATGAATCTTTTTGCGATGTCCCTACCTTTCAATTTCTCGCGAACGGCATCGCTGCGAGTAATATGGATCAGTAGGTAAGTGTGGCCCATAGTAACGCATAAACCGTGAGGAGAAAGAGAGAAATTGCAGTTTCCTTGAATGCAGCACATGACTAATATAGCGTATTATTGTGCTTTGCGGTATTATCTCAGTCGGACAAATCGCATTAATCAACCCTCTCCTAAACGCTGATCATGTAATTTCGACTCCATTTTCCAACCTAACCTCTCAGCGGCTGATAAGGTTCGGTGGCAATATTCGGTAGTTATTTCGTACCAACGTCATTGCTTTCGTGCAAAAAGTGCGAGCAATTATTTAATTTAAACTTCAGCATCGTTTAGATTGATGCATACGGTGATCATAAAAAAAGCTACAGGGACACTGTGAAGCTATTACAAAGGCCAAAAAACATCGACAATAACAAGAAGTACGGCATCGATCGTTTTTTGTCGGGTCAAAAGCCGCAGCGATTTATGTGTTTGCTTTAATATCATTGTCTGAACATCTGCGCGTGTTGATTCGAATGAAGAGATATGTCTCGCCGGGCTCCCAGGAATGAATCATATAACGAATTTCTCTTTTAACTTGGAAGCGTCAACATCCGACTTTCGGTACGCCTCGCGGAGCTCTAAGGCAAACATTTCAAACTGCGAAACATCCACCGGTTAATTGAGTTCCCATTCAAAAAGCGGAGCGCTCAAATTCATTTTCGTCCGGCAGTTTGTAAATTAGACGTACTACTTTCTTCCGCATCTCGGATGTCGGCTACCGGTACCGTGAATTAACTTCTTTAAAATCTGGCTTGCTCTCACGATAGATCGTTTATATCGTTATTAACGGCTTGTATAAACCGACTTCGCACAAGAGTCAGCGGAAATAAATGAAAGAAAAGAAAACATGAGAGAAAATAAAAGAGAACTCTTCAAATTCTCCCCGACTGTCTTCAAATTTTCTCTGTTGATTTCATGCAGTACCGTTGCATGATTTGCCGATTAGATTAGATTAGATTGTCACTTAATTCTCACTCAGCTTTCGATCCTCGAAGAGCTCTCGAGGTGTCACGCTGGGCTCGCGCGATCAGCGAGATCATTCGACATTATGATCACGCGTGCATCCCATTCTACGGCGCATTACCACGAAGGCCTCTTTCACAATGACGTTTTCCAATATCGCTCGGCATCACAAACTCGTTTTCCTTGACCTACCTCGAAGACGAACCTACGCCCCGTCGCTGCGACGTGCACTCACATGCCCGTCATATTGAAATTTTCAATGGTTGCTACCAACAGCTGCGCCATCATTCAAATATGAATTCTTCTCGTTTTGATCGGCTTCGAAATATGGAAGCAGCTGCTCTCCCGCAGTCGTGAGGATAAAAATAATTTTTGACGCAGCTTGAAAGCGTTTTACCGAGTAAATTCAAATGGTCGGACAAAGTTTTGGAGGAAATAAACGAAATATATTTATCAAATTATATTGAAAAATTTAAATAAAAAGATATATTTTATCAAATTGGAAAATAAAATAAAATAGAAGGAAAAAACAAACAAATGACAAGACAAACATTTTCCTTAGTCTTTAATTCTCGATAAATCACTAGTCCACTGAACTAAAATTTAGATTTTCACTTTTTTAAACAGTTTAAACCATATATAAGAGTGGATATATTTTTATTCTTTCCCCCAAGCTCTCAAGGAATAAAGAAAATTGTACGATTTTTTTTTAGATAGAATAAAAATGTTTTAATTACTTTCATAATAATGCATCAAACATTAGTTTTCAACCGGACAATTCCAGCCGTGACGTTATCTGTAACACAATTGCATGCTCGAAAAAAGCTCAAACGGATTCATATTCTCCTCAAATACTCGCGCGAATTGGTCTCATATCTCGCAGAAAGAAATTAGCGGCTCAAACCGAGAAATGTCGATGCAGTCCTCGTGCACGATCATCCGTACAAATAAATTTCGTTCGCGCGCGCGCTTTCACGGCTGCATGGCTTCCGCCGCGGTGAAACTTGCAATATTAATAAGAGAGCTGCGTGTCGATCGTCACGTTCAATCGCGGTGTCTAACTCGACGAGGAAGATCAGAGACGTGAATGATAAACGATAACTTCGCGACAGTATGCAGTCACACGATATGCATCTTCCACCTATGAGCGTCGGACAGGTTCAAGTGTAAAACCATGAATGCTGCGTGCACATGCGACATAGAATGTCCCAGAAAATGTATACAACAATATCGCGCGCGCAAGAATTCGCAGCTTCCTGCTCGTCGAAATCGACATGGTTGTCGCAGTGATCTTCCGGAAGGCTTTGCTTGGACGCTCGTGACTCGAAAAGGAAATTAAAAAAAAAAACTGATATATATAAATAAGATATCTTTAAATAAGGATCAACAATCGTGAACTTCGTGATATTCTTCATGTAATCTACTCGATCCGTTTTAGATCACACTGTACTAATACCGCAGTATATTAATTTGAATAATTTCTGTAACTTTTATGTTTCCTTTCGTATTTTTCATTTCATCATTTTATTTAAGCTCTTATTGGCTTGTTTTCGTATTTCTTTATTTAGTTTATATTTTTACCAATAATGAATGTCTTTTAGGCACACCTATTGTAGGATTCTCCAATATCTGTATATAAACAAGTCCTCAGGTATATAACTGATGAAAGAGAGATAATAAGAGTTATTAGTTCGAATTTAATTAATGGGAAGATAATAATGAAATATAATGACTGTATGATAACACACGCTCTATTCGACCGGATTTGTTACATATGCGGTAAATCAATCCCTTCAAGTAATCTCCTCTATTCATTTTTTATTCTTTTTCACAACAGAGTTGTAAAAATATAAATTACAATTTTCTCACTTTAATAACGGATTTAAACAATTATAATTCAAATTAATTAATTGACAATTTCAACGAATTCAATTAAAGATTGTTTAATCGATCCGCCGACCGACTGAATAACAACACGTGGCTCTTTTGCATTCCTGAAGTGAAAATGAAGAAGTCCGACGATCTGGCTCCTATCTGGTATTTATTTTTCCTTATCCCCTTGTCAATTATCCTTTTATTAGCACATCCTGATACGCGCCGAACTTTCGCCGCTAACGATTAATATAAAATGATAATTCATAATTTATTTCGCATTGACGTTTTTAGCGCTGCCATAAATACTGCGCGTCACTCACAAAGTGGCACGAGATATCGTTAAACAAGTACGGTTAAACGACACATTTCGAGCGACGTACGGAACAATCGGAACGATGATGATTATGCACATATGAGAACGCGCGCGAGTCGTCGCAAAATAATCATCCGGCGTCCTATTTTTTGTCGTATATAATTTTATGAATACCAGATTCTTCGCGTTTATATTTTTTTTATTCCCCCCAATGAAAGTGTCAATCATTACTTATTGCGACTTTCTAATCTACGATTTAATTAGCATTCTCATGACTGGGCCCTATATGAAAATTCCGTTAAACTGTGGCTCGTTTAAATTTAACGGAAAAATAAGGAAGCATCATTTCTGCGTCTATTTTCGATGCTCAGTTAACTCACGCACGTACGTAATATAAATTACACAACGTTGATGAAATATAAAAATATCCATCACCAATGAGAGAGTCAGAAAAAAAGAAAGAGAGAGAGAGCATGTTATCACATTTAGCGATAAAATTATCCATTTCAACTTTGCCGGCACTTTGTTCATTAAAAATTGCATCTTATTGCGGTCCCGGTAATTATTATCAATGGTGGCGTACGTGGCGATAATTGGTCGGCCACTATCCGAGAGCCTGTATGCATCCATAAATTCTCGGCCCGCTACACTGCCATAGAATAAACTGTTGGCCTACTTGTACTCTGTGACTACTTTCACTTGCGACGACGAGGTTGGCACGAATGCATGGATAAGACGAATTTTCGAATAACCTACCTACCGCGGCGGGTTTCATTCTAAAAATTTAGTTTCATGTTCCCTCGCGCGTTATTTTCTCCTTTCTTTTTCTTTCGAGCGCTGCGCAAGTATGAATCGACATGAGATGGACGTCCGTCGATCGCACACGCACTATTTCATTGTCGGAATAAACAAATGAGAAAAAAGGTAATATTTTCATCATTAACGTCAATGTGATATTTATATTTATCATTATTTTCAGATTACATATCTTATAATTACAGCTAGGTGTTTAATTTCTTTTCTAAAAACATTATCTTTATGTATCGTTATGGTTCCTCAAATCGAGAAAGCCGTGATATGCCAATGGAGACAAAGAAGATCGCATGTATGATGAGTTGATATCTTCCTGGATGGTCATTAACAAGTGATCGTTGTGCAGTCTTTCTTCTTAACAGCGTCGAACACTTCATCAAGACCATTCTTCGTTGCAACGTCATTCGAGATCCTGCTAAAGTAATGCATTTCATTATATAAGATAACCTAATAGCGAGAAGAAACAAACTGAGAATTTATAACGTAATTCCGAAACAACAATAAAATCTACTTTTCACGTGCTAAAATTGCATACAGAAAATATTAAAGTGACCCTCGATTAAAAGCATCGCTTAATGAGTAAAAATGTATCTCGTTGATTTGAATGAAATACTAGTATAGGCTAGATTAAATTTTGTAGCTTGTTATTAGTTCTCGTTATTGGCTGATTATTCACAGAAATATAGAATCGATTTTGTGATCTAACCGTTGCCTAGCAAATTTTAGAATATATGATTATTCTAAAATATATAATCTAGCTCCTATGCCGGCCATTAACATTTAAAAATAAGATAGCAAATAAAAATTGAGAGTATATTTTCTATGAAAAAAACAAAACTGCCATCATATTACTATCTGGCAACTAGTTATAATTTTACTACTTTCTGGTGAAGTTCTACTAAGGTTAATTTGGCACAAAAGAGCGGCCTTATAAGACATATTGAGACAAGGAATTAGGAAAAGTTTGAAAGAGTGAATCACCTAGTGGCTAAATTCCACAGGATGTTCTGCAAGATGTTGGACTCTGGCTCGCTGCCGGCCAAGATCAGTTCGCAGATCGTTCGATTTTCGCACGTGGTCGATTGGTCGTCAAGCAGACGGCCCGTTCGTTTGTGCTCGACCGGTAGGTCGGCGGCCCGCAGTTTCGAGAGGACGATGTTCGGCTGCCTGTGGTGGAATTGATCCTTGATTAAAAATATCGCCAAACAGACTATAGCGTAACTCTTAATTATATAAAGAAGAGAGAAGAACTCACGTCGTGTCGTTGATTCGCACGACGTTGGGTGTCAATGTCGCCAACAGCAGACCCAACGGCAAAAAGGTGCCGATCAGGCGAACGATTTTCTTCCAGGCCGACAGTCTGCGAACCAAATATTTTCGTTTCGTATATATGAAGAAGGAATCGATCATAAGTGTGTTAAGATTTTCTAGAATATATAGTTATATTACGCTCTAAATTTTTTTCAGCAAAATCTCACTAAAAATATATATAAAACCCGAAGCGATATTGAAAATATTCGCAAAGGTAAATGTTTCAATCGATTAGGATGAATTTATTCCCATAAAACGATGGAAAATATTAGATTCGAGTAAAAATATTCATTTGACTATTCAGAATGGAGAAGATACTTTATAGAACAAAAAATCACCCGAATTCGACTGTCACTCCACTTTTCAGGTGAAATTTCACTTCAAGGAATTTAGAGAGCAATATACAGTTATATATTGAGCGCAATTATTCATGGAGTGACTAATATGAAATCGCGTGAAATATGTATTTATTATAGGATGAATTCCTTTGTCGAATGAGACTGGTGCAGTTTACAAATTAGATGTTTAACATGAATTTTTCTGATGAATAACGTGGCGCAAGAATGAAGACCTATTACAGTAAATACGTCGAGCGCATTAGAGACCCACTTTCTCATATGTGGATAAGCCTCTATCGAATGCTGCGGCACCTCTGCATATTTCACCTCGTGATACTCGCTGCTCGGTTGATAAAACTGGTAAGGGAATTTGCGCTTCCTAGTATATGTAGACTCCTCTTGTTGAAGAAACAGAATACCGTTCTCCGGCTGTTTTATTATCTCATACGTGGTTTCCTGCGGCGCCGGCTGATAAACATTCTGATCACCGATGACGTATGGTGATCGTGAAGTATCGAGGTGGGAGGTACCAGCCATTGTTTTCCCGAAAATCGCCGATGTGTCTTGCTGCATCGGTTTCTCGGCGTTTTGAAAGAAGGTTGGATCGACGAGTACGTGCTTCGCATTGAACGACAATCCGGGGTAATCCGTAATGACTTGTTGGTCATCTAAGGATTAATGAACGCTCTGATCAAGTGGAATGGAAAGTTCCATTCCGAATTTCCGATACAAAGACAATATATCCTAAGATACAGCTTCCTCGAAATATTGAAAGCATATATAATTGTTCAGAAATTTAGCTTTTTCAGAATAACATAATTTTTTCAGTACACAGTTGCACGAATGTTATAACTTTTTGAAACAATTTTACACGCGTCCGGGAAAACTGTCTCAAATTCCGGATTTATTGTAGAAAACTCTCGCATTCTTTGGGCAGGTTCTTTTTTCAGGACAATGCGTAATACCTTACTTACCATTATCTTGGAACTTAATTTTGCTCGGTCGCGTCGCTTCGTCTACTACTGCACTGGAGACACCTTGATACATGTCCTGGAGAACATCTTGGAAGTGTTCGCGTCGTGAATTCAGCTGAACGTTATTTTCAAACCTCAGCTGATGCACGCTGTTGAAGGGATTCATCCGGATGGCGTTAGACGGTTGTTCGATTTCGCCTAAATGCACGCTCGGCCGAAAGACGCCGGAAGCGTTCCGCAGAAGATTTTTCATGACGATCGGCGACGTAAACTTCCGTTCGCCGGCAGCGGCTGACTTCGTCGTCGACAACATTGTCGTCTCATGAACGGCGTATTGACCTCTTGGGAAAGAAGTTTCGCGCGAGATCTTCTCGTCTGTCATGTCCTTGATGTTGTTCGCGCATGCGACATCGACAATTAAGAGATGCAGTAAGAAGAAGCGACGCGGAAAGAAGAGTTTACGTAATAATCGCATGTTTTGCGTTCGGTTGAGCGAGCAATCTATTCCCAGCGACAACGGCGACGAGCAGCTGTTGAGGACAGCTGTTCCCGTCGCGAGGAATCCGCAACTGAAGCATCTGCCGCGACTTGAACTCGCGGAACGACGAGTGACGTTTTCTAAAAAGCGTGAACAAGGGAGTAATTTTCACGTCTTAATCACCGTCCATACTCCAATTGTTGACGGCAAGACGTGGCGCGCGCCATTTAGTTCGAGCAGTCCCGCCGTTGCGTGTCGCGCCGAAGCGTAAACGGTTCCGACATAATGAGAGGAACAAAAAATTGTAAAAATATAGGAAACAGGGAGTTACATAAACTCGAAAAGATGTAGCGAAAATTCCATTGATATAACATTTTTTTCCACGCACAATCATCGACCTTCGTAAAGAAAAATCAGGGATTCGGGCTCATGTTGATAATCGTTGCTTAATACACATATGCTGGATGTATCCTTAACTTCGTTATATGTACAAAAGATATTACGCGTAAAACTATGTTTGTAATGGCGGCTCAAGAGAAAAATTCACGTACGACAAATTTTAAGTAACGGCTGTTAATGTAAACGGACCTCAGAGACTATTCAAACGTCGACGACGACGACGAAAAACGGAACAAATTGCATAAGTGAGACGGGAGACGTTCCTTGCTGCGGAATACGAGTAATGAGCGGAAGGGGTGAAAAGACTTTCTAAGTCAAGTTTTATCGCCGAGCGGTGAGAGTCTGACCCTGTTTCGCGTGAGGTGAGGTCATTTCGATATGTTCTATATGCTCCACGATGTTGTTTCGGAATTTATGGATTTCACGGCAAGAGAAACATTCTCCATTCTTCTCAAGCCGCGCGTTCTCCTCGAACGTCCATCTGATCGGCTTCACAAAATCAGAATCGAGAGAACCTCATCGTGACGAGACGTTTCTCCGTCTGGATGTTATTCTTCCATTTCGTTTCTTCGCAAGAGACAAATTGTATCAACAGCGTTATCCGATCTCCCCAGAGATAATTTCCTCGAAACTAGGCTAGATACCCTTTTCACCCCTTCTTTTCGTCATTTCGTATGCGACTCTCCCTCTGGTATGACCGACAATGAAAGTGGACGTTCACTGTATTCGCAAATATTCTTCTTGTTTTCAGCATAGTCGTTTTTGCGGTTAGCTATGTCTAGCCTGACCCAAATCCAAACAGGATCGCGGAAGTGAAAAATCCTGACGCACCGCACTGCGCGGAAGAAACAATATCGTTGGTGCGACTGAATTTTCCGTTACCTGGGACATGGGTAAAATGTCTTGATTGGAACAGACAGATTTCTGTAAGAGGAGGTTTCTACTCAGTCAATCAACTGTCTCAACCGGGTTTGCAGCTGAAAGTTCATACGAACCCACATAGGAAAACATTTACGAAATTATATGACGAAATTTTGCACGAAATTTGTAATATAATTTCAATTACATGTATTCTATGTAATATATGTTGCAATTGTATATATGTTTGAGAAAATACATGTATAATTGTTGAATTTGTGATTGCAGGATTCTTTTCGTATGACGCTTTTGTTCTAATGACAATCCGTTATCAGAGAAATGTTCGATTCGACGGCATCAATGACATTTTCGTACTTCCGAACTTAGCATTCTCGTGTGAATCCGTTAAACATGCCAGTAATAAAATTCAGGGTCCAGATACGCTTGATGCGCAAGTGGCTTGTTAATTTTGTTTCGGAGCGCAACGTCTATCTCTACTGACGAGACGGTCAGCGTTTACAGTGAGTGCCACCGTGGAACTATGGAAATCGGCGGTAGCGCATTTCTGTCTCCGGACATAAGCAAGAAAAGAAATCGTGCCTGTTTCTGGGTCGGCACCTGACAAAAAATCTGAGATCGGTGAAAATCTGGCAGAAGAATCGGAAGCTGCTCGTAAAACGGAAACTGTTAAGATGCGTTTCACTCCGTGCGCGCGCTCGCGTCACGAGTAAGAATCATCGACACGGGGCAGGGAAGGGAGGGATGGAAGGAGGGAAGGAGGCTGGGGAGGAAGGGGCAAGATGAAAAAAAGAAAAAAGAAAAGAACGACCCGAGGTTTCTGGGCCGCGAAAGCGCAAAAATCGGTAAACGACTGATTCTGCGTTTGTTTGTCGATACTAGGCGATCATCTACGTTGAAGAAGGCCAAATCGGCGATTTACCGAGCATGAAAAGCAACCGTGGCTTTCTTCGTCCTTTGCGCACGGATCGGCGTGTCCTTAATTGTGCGACTATTCGGCCAGAAACTCCATTTCCCGTGTGCCTTGTTAATACGTCGAAATAAAATTACGACGATATAAAATTACCAGTATAAAACAATTAAATTAGCATAAACATGCAAGAGTATCGATAAATTCTGTAATTAAAATTCCACTTGAGGATTACGACGATGCGTCTCAACATTACTCGTGTTATCTGCTCAGATTATGATGTTCAGATTATCATCCTGTTATCTAATTAGATATTGTGTTTTGTTTAATTCATGTACTCCATATAAAGATTGTATACTGCTTCAGATTTAAAAATAATTTGAATATAATCTTCTTTTCTCAATTTCTACAACGAATTATGTTACAATGATCTCTAGATCACGAGATGAATACACAGCTTGAATAAAAATATAATAGTTATATAATTCGTTGACTATGACTAAAATAAGAAAGCCACATTTCAGGTAAAAGAAGGGCCAGAACACTTGCAACTTACTATACTCAATTTTTCTTTCTCCCTCTTCTCTTCCGCGCAACCGAAACTTTTCTAAGGCCGCGCCTAGCCCAGAAAAGAGAGAGCACGCACGTCGTCGTGGTCGTCCCGCGGTTCAGTTCCGCCGCGTCTTAAACGGTGAAAGTAGCATTTTGACAAAAGGTAAAATCCGCTCAAACGACACTGTCACCCGCCAAAGGTACGCGAGCGCGGTAAGGACAGAGGAAGAAGCGACATCTTGTCGTCACCCGGGCTGATTGTCACGAGCATGCACCGAGCAATTAGCGCGTGACGAACGGTCTAGGTCTGTTTCTTCGTTTTCCTCGTTTCTGCGCCATGATGAAGCATCGATACGAACTGATTGATCGAGAATAGATGACAAAATAACTCAAACTCTTGGTCCTATATTGAATTTTTAATTCAACGATATAACGTGAGAGCTATGATATATATAGCAAGCTTTTTAATAATTTACTTTTACTTTAATCCTAATGGCATTCTGAATTTCCGTTTTCGCTGTTTTATCGTCAAAATAGATTCAAGTCAATATTAAATCTACACACCGAGAGAAGAAACTTTTAAGAAATAAAAAAATATTTATTTTCGGTGGGAACTAATAATATATCAAGAAATTCAAAAAACCTGAAATTAAAATTTTCCAACCAGCTGTTTTCCCCGGAAAATAGTCGAAACATTTACCTTGAGTGATACCTGGCTATCACCTATCTGGTGAATAATATTATAATCGTCGAAAATCGTCATTCTGGATGATTTGAACTTTTGAAAGGCAACAATACCATTGTTTTTAAAATGTTTTATTTTTGATTAATTAATTAAAAAGATGAGGCAATGAATTGAAAAGTGTGCGTTTTACAAGGTTATTCTCCACCTACCGTCGCAGGGAGTAATGGGAGGTGGCCAAGTGAAATTATTTTCTGACGAAAGACAAAAGTCTAAACTATACTTCAGTAAAATGATTTAGGCCAGAATCTACCTGTATCACAGATAAAAAAATGTCTTCAAGATAAGTAAATTTAGAGAGAGAAGAAGAAAGATTTAAATAAATATGTACCCACTGAATAAATAATTTTATTCTTTAGAAATTATTTCTCTCAGTATGGAATTTTCAAGAGAAAAGTTGATCGCCAAAGTAGGTTTTTATTAGTCTATAGGCTGTCAAATTAGGCGTGAACTATCCTTAAGAGCGTCAAGGTGGCATCAAAATTTCGACTCGGGTACAATTAACGACGGTGACGGGAAGAGGACAAGGAGGAGGAAGAAGACGCGATCGATCGGCAATCAAATTCGCGCCACTTCGACTTTCTCGGCGAGCTCCAACGTTCTGCAACTTTTCCAATCTCTGAAGCGTGCGATTGCCGTGATTTGTGGCAATTGCAGCAGGAACAATCCTGGCGATTAAACCGCGAGAGAAGAGGTAGTTGAAAACGGCTGTTTCGTTAACTTTTTCGCACATTAGTAGACGGGAGTGCCGACTGGATTTTTGCTAAGCGTAAGTGTGCCTGATTAGAGATGCTGATAAATGAGAAAGCGCATTATAAATAATTCTCGTATCGATTGTTTTGAACGCGCGGGATCGCGTTAATAACAGTCCGGAAAGAGAGTATGCGTTCGGCTGGCGAAATATCCCCCACGCCAATTCCGACCCAATTTTCGGATTATTCGCGAACTCGATACCGTCCTTGACGGAAATCGGATTTTATCAGAAAGACATTCGGAGATCTGCTCGATTTCGACAAATTTCAAACGCGCCATCGAACACGATGAAACGAAGACGATAATCGCCGCGAGGTGATCGTTAGGAAAAGCCGAAGAAACCGCTATCCTCAATGGTCCCGTACAGTGCCTCGCGCAAAAATATAGACATCATTCAGCCGAGGATCGATCCCATCGATCATCAATCGATCGACCTCGCCTCCTATTGTGTCTATTGTGTTCCAAAAACGATCGCTATCCAAGAGGAAAGAGAAAGAGGAGGAAGCTCGCTGTGTGGAGGATCGGAGCAAGGGAAGGAGAAATAGAGACGCGCGTATTCGCGAGCGAGCGGGACGGCTCGGGGAGAGTAAGAGAGACAATGTGGCGCTCGTTCTCCAGGTGACCAAGAAGAACGGAGGGAAGAACGGATCGGAGGAAGATGCAAAATGGACCAAATACCGACGAAGTGGGGATCTAGATTAAAAGCAAACGAGGGCAACGTCTTGGCAACAGAGCCATCTCGGACCTTGAGGAGTCGGCACTTCCGTTGCTGGCTCTGTGTTATTGTTGTTGTTGTAGACGTCGTGGTGTCGTCGTCGTTGTGGGCAGTCACACATTGCGAGCCTATAACGGGTTTTTCTTTCTCTCCTGGAGGCCACATACGGGCTTCATTGTCCATGTAATTAAAGGTGCCACAACGCGGACGACTGATATCTCAACACGGTCAGTGCGGTAGACAGCGCAGCGCGTTGTGTGCTGATTATTACAGTTGTCCTCCTTCGACACTTATCGCGCGAGAGTAGGACGACGAGTCGCGATATAAGACGATTGTGCGGGATATTCTTCGAGACGGCGGCGGATAATAGTGGTCTCGGTGAAATTGTGACTTTGAAAGCTCTCTCGAGAAGCCGGAGCGACGAAATTGATTTCGCTCGTGATTTCCATCCCTCGCTTTTATATTATTTGTACAAATATGTTATTCGCGATGTTCCTCTCTTAGGATAATCTTTTACATCTTACAATTCTGATTTTTGCAAAAACGGCAGTCAGCGGAAGAAGAGTCGCGCGATTCGAGATGCGAAATGAAGCTTTTCCTATTTCAGATGGCGTCGAGGGGAGCGATATACTTGCTCCTTACGATCTCAATGTTGGCGGATTCGCAGTGCAGCACCAAATACTTTGTGCGGACGAACGTATCCGAGATGTTCAAAACGAAGGCCGATAACCTGAGGATTCTTCAGGATCCAATAGCGATCACGCCGAACCCGTTGTACAATAACATGAGGAACGAACATCAGGACGAAGAGGACGAGAGGATGATCAAGGAGATTTCGAGCGACCAATATCACCGGAGGAATTCCTTCGTCGAGACCTCAACTTTCAATCCGGATGTGCTCAACAAGTTCCTCGAGGAGTACGCGAACAAAATCAAGAGCACCACCGAGAAGGATTTTAAATATCCTTACAAAATCCCGACCACGGAGACGCTCGTACTCGAGATCGACGATGAAACGACCACCGAAGCTACCACCAATCATGAGCAAGATGAGAAACTCGATCAGAATGCGAACGCTACTTCGGCGGAGGACGCGGTAAGGAACTGTATATTTATCGATGTTAACAAATCATTGTGTTATAAATGAATCGATGAATTCTCATTCCTGTTGATTTAGCTGGCCGAGGCATTGAACGATACGCTAAAGAGAAACAAGTACTACGGTACAAACACTTACGAGGACAGGAACGGTTGGGTGACGTTGGAGGCAATCCCCTGGTCTAAAAGCAAAATTTCCAAGTGGCAGGCCAATCCAGGCAGTACACAGCGACCTTGGCCGGAGATAAAGCCGTTGTGGGATAAACCGAAACCATGGGCCAGCGACTATTCCATCAGACCCACTTATGAAAACAACAAACCGTGGTGAGTAATTTTCTTTTTACCATAAGAGGTTGTGGGGACAATTCCGAAATAGGTTCTTCTCCGCGAAAAATCAGTCTTGAAAAAATGCGCTCGATCGAATCCTAGGTACGACAAGCCAAAGCCCAACTGGTCGGACAACAATGAAAAACCATGGCAAAAGCCGACCTCCCGTCCTCCTTACCAATCGGACGCGTTATCCGCGTCTACTCAAAAGTGGCCGCCGGAGAGACCGTGGAACAAATATGATCCTCATCGTCCCAACAGTCCCGACATTATTACCGACGACAGACCGGCGAATTTCCCCAGCACCTGGTCGAGACCGCAAACCTCCAAACCACCGTACCAGTTCGTCGACAGGTACCCGGAGAAGGTCCAGCCGGAGAACGGCAACGACTGGCACGAGTATCCGTCCAGACCGTTCGACCAAGACCGACCTGCCGATCTGCGACCTACTCTGATCACCGAAAGACCTAACTTCTCGCACTATCAGTATGTAAACAATCATCCGGCGAGTCACCCGGCGAGCGGCGACGGCCAATGGGTCCTTTTGTCGACGAACCGAGGATACGCCAAGTCGAGGCAAAGGTCGATCAAGATCGACACGATAAACCCAGATTTATTCAGAAAGATTAACACGACGAGGGTCAAAGGGGACAGAGAGGAGCCGGATCCCGCGATACCCGTGATGACTTCGAAGCGACAGGTTAGGCTAAATGATCAAAGAAACGTACAATTTTATTTTCCAAAGTATCGAATTCGATCGATTTCAATTTATTGCTGATTTCATCGCTTCTTCTTATTAATTCACCAAAAGCCGTTATTATTCTATAAAATTTCTCAATTAAAGGATCAATCTATTTTCCGGAGATCTCAAATTAGTGTTATTTTTCAAATTTTTAAGATTAACAAATTTTGACTGAAAACAAAAATTTAACAAAAAATCAGGCTATAAAGAGGAAAATAATTTTTTTTTTTTTTCTAAGTATTCACTGTTCAAATTATTTTATTCGATAAAAAAGAAGCGACCCATAAATAGGATATCGGGTATTAATTAAGTGCAATGTCATTTAACGTTCAGTAGAAAGCCTTCTGATTGTCTTCTTCTCCTTTCTCTTAAATTGGCGACGATTCTCCGAAATTTATCAGAGGAAATTTATCATTATCGGCCGCTTTATGGAAAATCGTTTACCTAGGTTAGATTGACGGTGTTGCCATCGATCAACGGCACAAATACGACGACGTCTCACGGGGGTCTATTGGAAGTCGAAAAGACGTTCAAGAGCGTCGAGCAGAGTCGCAAAGAATACGAGATGCAAAGACTGACAACCGAAGCGAACATCCTGAAGAAGAGACCGATCAGGAACACATTGAGCGGCCAATCGTCGAGCTCGGCCGTTCTAGCAGCCGTTGGAGCAGGTAATGCCATTAGAAAGAAAATAACTTCAAATATATATCGATCAGGCGACTTCTGTAATCCAAGCCAATTTGGCTCAACAAGCGATGTTGAAATTAATCATTGCTAAATTGCTCATAATTATTGTGCCGATGATAGGCATGTTGCCAGCGACAATGGCGATGATGATACCGATGATGTTGGGCCGTCGAAAGAGAGACCTCTCCGCGCAGACGGAACTAAGGCAGTCCAACAACTTCGAAGTGGACTTGCATAAGCTTGCAATAGAGTATAACACCCAACAGAGGAGACCAGTGAGATTGTAGGCGGAATTAAGGTAGCAATATTCCCGTTCGCGATGCGGAAGCAAATAAATGAATATACAGGGTGTTTCTTGGGACTCCAACGTTTTAGAAGTTGATTTTTAAGGTTATTTTACGAAGGAGAGTTCATATATATGAATGTATGTGCTTATTTCTTTATAAAATGATCTCAAAAATCAATTCTTAAAATATTGGACAATAAGTTAAGAAACCCTATTTATTTTCTTTATTTGCAACATAAAATTTGTGACCTTCACGAAGGAGAAAAATATTGAATTGACGCGATAATGAACAGATCAAACGTGTTTTCATCGAAGAAAAGAGAATTCTTAGTTCTCCTATGAACCAAATTAAGATATTCCTTTTAATATCAAAATAAATTTGATTTGTTCATTGTCACGTTAACATTCACACAAAATCTTTTCCTTTGTACTCTAGATTATTTTTCTCAATATAAATGCAAATGAAACTTTTGGATATAGGGCGTTGACGAGCGAAGATTGTACCAAACAGTTCGCCAATAGATTTCGGACGATTTTTGCGGAACGGTGGTCATCTGCAGCTCGTCTGTCTGACGAGAATATCAATTTTGCGTTCATTGGATTGTCGCAGTTAAACGTCTGAACGCCTGCCCGCTTGCGAGCCGTTTCTTCGGGACACGCGTCACGGTAGTCAGTTGGATTTATAGATCATATCATTACTGAATACGTTATTGAATGAATATTAGCGCTCGCATATAAGAGCGCACATACAAGCACGATCTATTGGGAGAGAGCTGGCCGCGGTTATCGTAGGAAAAACGAAATTAAAGAAAAGCGAAACGCGTGCAATCCCCTGCGAAATTTTCAAAGACATCGCGAGGCCATTCGAGAACAGACCCTCACTCGCGTACGTACACAAAAGAAACAGTGTCGCAATATTTATTTATATAATGCATGTCAGGATATTACGTAGTTGCATACTTATTTATTTATTTATTTATTCGCTCATGTCCAGCTATTTATTTATTTATACATTATACAGCTACACAGTTTTGCCCAATAATCGACTCCTCCGTACGTCTTCGCTCGCCCTCCAGCGAGAGGGTAAGAGCAGCACGCAAAATGTACCAAAACAATTATAGAAAGAGATTAAGCAACTTGCAATAAAGATCTAATCGATCCTGGAAGAGAAAGAAAGGGAGAGCAAGAGAGAGAGAGAGAATGAAATTTTCTGAAACCCCTCCACCAATCCCGCGCTATCTTACTCGTTTCGAACAAATAAAAAAACTCGGGGGTGCACCTTATCGCGCACTCTGTGTGACGCGCCACAAGGCGCGTGCAATCCGCGAGATGCATTCCTAAATTTCTCGGAATAAAATTTCACACGAAAAGTCGAGTCCCACCACCATTAAGTCCCTCGAATTCGAATAAACTTTCACTCGTGTAGAGTGAATTCTCCGAATTATTTAATTTTACTCGAAATTGAAAACTGTTCCATTGTCACAGGGACAACTGTCTTCATTCCAATCGATATTCGCTCGCTACGGAGTGAAAATCCTACCCTAAGCTTGAGTGAAACATTCACTCTCGCGGCATTTCGAACGGCAGTGTGTTTTCACTATCGCTTTGAGTGAAAACATCACCACTTTTCGCTCGTTTTGAGTGAGAGATTCCGTTCCAAGAAATTTAGAGAGCAATGTGCGCACTTGGGGGGCCCGAAGATCGACGTTAAAGCTCGTCACGTTAGTCGAACGTTCATCGCAAAAGAACGTCACAACGGTGTCACACTCGTCGCTTAGTCGTTATCATCGTCGATCATCAATCCCCTGTCGAGTACCGAAGATTCTGGAAAAGAAGAAGACAAAGAAGACGATCCATATCGGTGATACTTCGAAGAGGAAGACACGAAGTAACGCAACGTTCACCGACGTAACAGTATTTCATGTTTCTCTTCATCGTTTTAGCTTTCTAAGTGAAAGGATGACGCGCTCATTGGCGGCGCGGATAAAAATGATCGTCCGTGAAATTGCGTTTCGATCGAATCGCGACCGTGAAGCGTCGTTTCTTCGCGCCCAGGACTACCGTTACCAGACGGTTATGCTCCTCCAAAGTTGGGAGAAGCGGTCGCCTGAAAGTCGATTGCGTATCAACTTTTTTTACCTCTCATATGAATAAATACGCGCTATATACGCAAAATAAGAATATGATGTATGCCCTGCGAGACAACATTTGTTGCTATTCCACACAGAGTTATTCAATTTCACGTGAAATATGTCGCATTTTCATTGTGGTGAAAGTCGCTCGATCAAATGAGAGCTCACTTGTAATTCTCATTATGTTTTGAGACGCAATCGACATTCCCTGGTGGAGATACATCGTGTAACTTTGTCGACTTTTCTCTTTTCATGTGAATAAATACGCGCGAATAGCTAAAACACACAAAAAAACAAAATAATATTAAATTTAGACTCATATTTTCATACATACAGATCCGATAATTATCTCGGGAGGAGAAAATGGATTAAGTAGCTAATAATCGTGTGGGAAAAAGTAAGCCGGGCTTTGCATAAAAAAAAAATGAACTGAGCAGAAGGTGTCTCAGTAACGATGGTTATCAACTAATAGCGAGAAGCGTGTTTCTTTTCGGTGCGCAGCCTAGCATCGCATGTTCTTCGCTGCGTTATTCCATCTCCGTAGAAATTAGTTGATGCTCATCGTTGCTAAGACATCTTCGGAAGTGCGCTATTTTCTATACAAAGTGCGACCTATTATTTCCCGCGTTCGATCATTAGCTCATACAGATTAATTAATTCCCCATTAACTATTTTGCAAAATGGTATTTACTTTAATTTACTAATTTTTTTCGGTGAAAATGAGAATACGATATCCCTACGGCACCATTCGTTCGGTGTCGTTCGACACAAAACTACTTGTCGGCCAACCTCACGCGAAATATATCATCAAATTATCAACAAGAGCTCACTTGTGTAATTCTCACTATAAGATTTGAGACTCGCTTCGATTATCACTCGATCATCGGCCAGAACGAGCGGCGAGCGCGCGTAGTTCGAACATAACGCGTTATCGTGACTCGCATTCGGGTGGAGGAGTTGGGCTACTTAAGTTCACGATACATTCCGCTCGATCTCTTTCCCGCATTCATTCTTCGCCGTTGATCCTCTTCTGCACGTGGCCCAGATACCGCGCGAAGCCCTCGCTGGCGTGCTTCAGAATCGTCAGGCCCAGCCTGAACTTGATTTCGGCGACCTTCTTCACGAAGCCGAAGAGGCTGAAACCCTCCGCGGGCTTCTGCGTGGTCGAGCTCTCGAACCACTCGATGGTGGTCGCCTCAACGTTCTCAATCTCCTCCGTTGTTTTCTCCTTACTCGGCGTTTTCTCGGCGATCGTCCAGGTGCTCTGCGGTATTTTGGTCGTCTCTTCCGCGGTTGTAGTGTAAGTCCCCATGACAGACTCCTTGACGCGCGTGTTCGTCTCCTCCTGCCGCTTCCTTTTCTGCGCCTCGAGGTCCTCGACCTCGTTATTGTGCTCGCTGGTGTTTCGCGTCTTCGAATCGTCGCCAGCCGGCAACGCCAAGTCGATAATATCCAAAATCTCGTTGCTCAAGTCCTCCTCTTTCTCCTCCTCCTCCAGCTCGTGTTTTGACGGTATCACCTGTATTACCGACTCCCTCTTCGGCCGCGAAAGCCTGCTGTCGGTAGCACGTTTCACCTTCAGAGACCGCGGCCCGTGCTCCACCGCCACCGCGGTCGGCGTGATCTCGATCTCCTCGTAGCCGTCGTCCGGTCGGGTGGTCGACGACAAACCGACGGCCGAGCCGTGCCTGACCGCGTTGCCTGAACTCGATGGGAAGTTGAAGGTCTGAGCAATGTCGAACTGCGTCTGTCCGTCCTCGGCCGATTCGTAGTCCTTCTTGCTAACTAGAGCGGCGGTCTTCACGTCGAACGGATACTCCTTGGGTACGTTACCGACTACGAACTGCCGATTCGCGGATCCCGGGAGCACCAATCCCTCCGCGTGATCGTAGTAAATCGGCGTGGTCTCCGAATACCTGTTGTATTCCGTGTTCCGATACTTCACCGCTGACTGAGTGTTCTCGGAGGGTCTGTAGAGAGGAGACGTCGATATTGACGGATACCTGGAATTCGAATGTAATCTGTTACACCGAGAAGAAAAGCAGTAAAACCAACGAAAACGAACAAAATTTTTTCGTTATATTTCGAATATTCTCGTCTGCGTAGAAAACCCACCTGGAATCTATCCTCTTCGTCGTCTGCGCATCATACGCGCCGTCGTAGTGCTGATAATGATAGTAATTGCCATTGAGGTCCTTGACGCTCGGATATTTGCTCTCATGGCCTGTCATACCTTGAAATACCTTGGACAGCACCTCCTCTTCGCTCTGGCCGTAGTTACCGTCGTAATCTTCCAGATTGTATTTGTAATTCGACGGCTCCACCTCGTAGTTCCTGCGGGAGATGGTGCCGCCGAAGGGATATAAGAAGTACGAGGCCAGGCCGAGACCGAGACCCACCAACGACATCACGCCGAAGCTCGGCATCACCTCGCGGCTTAGGAAGTTGTAGATCTGCGTGCTGATCGCCTTCTGTGGCTGCTTCTTCTTCGTCTTTGTCGCGTTCGCGATCTTCGTCTCAGGCGCAATCTTCGACTCCTGGACTGCGTTGTCCAGGACCGCAGTGGAATCGATCACGCTGGTCTCCATCAAAGTGGACATTATGCTGGCCGTCGTTGAGCTTGGCGCCACCGAGCTGGTAGACGCTGGTTTGCGTCTGCGGACCTTGTTCTTCTTCCTCTTGGAATTGTGTCTCGGCCGTTTTGTCGACGTTGCAGAGGTCGTAGAGGATGTCGTCGTCGTGGCTACTTCCGTTTGCGTCTCTACGTTGATCTTCGTCAACTCGGGATTGAAGTCAAACTTCAGATCGATCCTGGAGTTACTGAGCTCGCCAGCAGTGTCCTTCTCCACGATCGCATCCAGCTTGTCCTTATTGACCTTCTCGATTTTCAGGATCGGCGCGTTCACCTTGATCGGCTCGATCTCGATCTGCGTTGTTTCGTCCGTGGGTTTCTTCAGCAGTACCTTCAGCACGTTATTGACTTTCGTGCCGACCGGCTTCGACCTCACCGGCACCTCCACGAGATCAGCGCCCGACAAGTTCGACGTCTTGGACGCTGTACTCAAAGTGACCGCCGGCAGCAAGGTGGTCGGCGCCTTCTGCGTGTCCATGAGCACCGAGGCTTTTATCTTCGTGACGAACATCGGTCTTTCGGTACTTTCCGGCCTGCTCTTCGGGGTTGTGATCATTTGGACAGGCTTGAACGTTACCTTTTCAATCTTACCGGTCGACGCGGTCTCGTTCTTCACCATTTCAGGCTTTACTGTGTTTCTTCTCGTCGGGGTCGGAGGCTTCGGTCTGCCCTGCTGACCTGCCGGTCTCAACGGTTTCGTTGCTGCCGACGTCGGCTTCGAAGTCGTTCTTGATGTAGTGACTTTCGGTTTGGCGGTGGTCCGTGAAGCTTGGTTCTTCTTCGTGGTGAATATGGTCGAGGCTACTTCGTCATTCGTTGTGGCGCTCGTTGTTGTAGTGCGCAACGTCTTCGGGGTTGTGCTCGAAGAAGAGGACTCCACTTTCTCCAGGCTCGGAGTGATCCTCTCAGGTCTCAAAGTAGTCGTGATTTTTTTCAACGTTGTAGACGTTGGCTTCTTCGTGCTGACGACCACAGGCGTAAGCTGCGTAGTCTTCTCCGCGATCTTCTCCACTCTCTCGATCGACGAACTCGGCCTCACTGTCAGTCGCACCTCCGTCTGGAACGGCTGCTTCGTCTTCTTTTCAGCTTCCACAACGCTCTTCGCGGTCGTGGACGGCGGATTCAGCAGGATCCAAGTGGAGATACCGCCGGTGGTGGTCGGGTGATTCTTGTAAGCGGTTATTAGTCTTGTCGTGCTCATCTCTCGTTCCAATTCCTCTTCCGTGATAGCCATCGCCTGGCCGGGGTGGCTGCTTTCGAAATAGCTGAACTTGGAATTGATCGGCCGGCCGAAACTCACGCCCATGGATTCCAGATTACTGATCTCCGAGTTGATCTCCTTTATCAACGAGGCATCACTCTTCTCCGAAATTTTTTGCGTCGTTCCGTGATCGGCCTTGATCAGCTCATGGCTGCTCACTTTCACTATGTTCTCCGGGCTCGTAACATTGAGCAACTGAGTAGCGACCGTTCTCAGAGACTGGTCCATGTATTGCAGATCCTTCAAATCTCGATTAGTGTTGTTTGATTGTCCGCTGAAAGCAAAGTCTCTCGTCAAATTTTGTCCAAAAAGAACATGGTGCCACTTTAAACACTTTTGTGGTTAGAATCTATTAATACGATATAATAATACTGCCCTCGTACTGAGAATGTACAAAAAACGCTATACTATACTACGAGGGCGGTACTGATAAGTATTAGGATTTGAAATGAAAACGCAATATTTCGGAGAAATTTCGATTTATTTTTCAACAAAGTCCCCTTTCACTTCTATACATTTCTTCCAATGGTGCTGTAACTTTTTAATGCCCTCTAAAAACTATGATTGTTCAAATTCTGCAAAATAGGCATCTACCTCAGTGATGACCTCCGAATTCGACGCGAATTTCTTCCCTGTGAGACATTTTTTCATGTTGAGAAACAGGAAAAAGTCGCTGGAGGCCAAATCTAGAGAATGCGGCGGATTGGTGAGCAGTGCGTATTTCAATTCGACCAGTATAGCTGTAGCGATTGCGGATGAATGTGCTGGTGCATTGTCGTGATGGAACAGGACTTTCTTCTTTACAAGATTAGGCCGTTTCTTTTTTCAGTTCCACGTCGAATCGTCTCAGCAAATCACTGTAGTATTGCCCCGTGATAGATCTTCCCTTGTCCAAATAATCGATGAGGATTGGACCGCGGGAATTTCAGAATATCATAGTCATGACTTTTCCGGCCGATGAGGCCGTTTTGGCCTTCTTCGGAGCTCTTTCGCCAGGTAAAATCCACTGTTTAGACTGCTGCTTGGTGTATAGTGATGGACCCACGTTTCATCTACAGTCACAAAACAACGCAGAAACTCCGCCTGATTGCGCTGAAACAGCTCCAAACACATCTTCGAAGTGACTATCCGATTTCGTTTTTGGTCCATGGTGAGCAACGGCGGCACCCATCGATAACTTTCTCATGTGCAATATATCATGTATGATATTGTCCCGTGTGTTCTTTACTATGTCTGCTATCTCACGCACCTTCACCCGACGGTCGGCCAATATGATATCGTGCACTTTTTCGACAGAATCATCGGTAGTAACCTCTTTTGGTCGCCCGGGACGGTCATCATCAAAGACGGACGTGCGACCACGACGAAATTCGGCGTACCATCTAAAAACAGTGCTTCTCGAAGGAGCAACACTCCCGTAAACGGCTTCCAATTTTTCTTGGACTTCTTCACACGTTTTCCCATCCAAATAAAGAAAACGAATCACCGAACAATATTGCTCTTTTTCCATATTGACGATAATGGCTGAGGCGTTCACTTTAATCGGCTGCCAACAAAAAACTAATGGACGGATAAGGCTGAAATTTTGGCAGGCCTTGTTTGAAAGATGGAGCTATATGATGGTAAAACCGGTTTCGCTGCAGTGGCGCCACCATGCGTAAAACCAACTACTTATCAAACTGCCCTCGTATATATTGTGTACTCGTTTACGATGTTCCGTTTAATTATTTAATATTATAAATGTATTCTGGAAGCATATAACGTATACTATTTTAACAGTAATAATTAAAAATGTTTTATAACGAGAAAAATGTGTTCAAATTTTCATATGATTAATATGAATTCTTTCATAAAAAATGTTTTTTAAAACGAAACTCATGTGTGCTCAGCAAATGCTGTTTTTTCGGAGAAATCCAGTGTTGTATTCATTTTCTTAACTTCATGATCTTTCCCATTTCATCGTGCAATCGTCTGGAAATTGTCAGCTTGATCAACTCCTAATTGCGTTCCTCTTGCGGCGCTTGAGCCGAATTTTCATTTAGCAATGTTTGCAATTGTTCAGTTTCCAATTTGCGCGCAATCTGTGAGCTCAACCATTAACATCAAAATTGTCTTTTTCAAAATGTCTAAACGCCAATATTTGCAAATGTTATGGGCTATTTTTGTCAGAAAGAAAAGAACAGAAGTTGATTCGCATGCTTTAGTAGCGCGTTTTTGTGCTCGTTAAAACTCATAACCAATACAGTGTGTGTGATGTATGCAGCTTATCGTCAGCCATCATGTTCTCTGTTTTCTTAAGAGAATTGTTTATCGTTGCCTCTCATGTCGAGATAGCGTTTAGAACATATAATGTCAATACTTCAAAACTGCGAAAGGACGCGAAAATATTCCACGTTTTCCAAGTAATTTTTTTAAGACCTCAAAGACTAAGAATCATGCATACCCCTAATATATATGCATATATATATAAGGTTGATATTTTTTTTCTACAAGCTAAAGGATGTAGTTGTATCAAAATGTATATCATATTATACAATATTGAATACATCTTTTTTTTAATCAGTATGTAAGAAGTGTAATAATACAATAAGCCCCGTTCTTCCCTATAGAATAGGACAGGATAAAATCGAAGTGAAACATAAGGTGGATATATATATTTTTTACATAATATACAGAGGCGTAAAAAATCAGTCGCTAATAAAAAGATATTAGTCATCAGTGTCTTTTAAAATGCTTTATTAATGTTACATATTCCTTGGCACAAATACTGCTAATGCTCTGAAATGGTGCAATTTAATTATGTTAAAGTACCGATACATAATAAAGAACGCTACTAATAATCGTGAAAAAAAGTATTGTCATCGGGATTTTTATTATATATATGGAGTTTAACGATATAAACAGAATACTGTCCCACGCACTAATCTACGCACCATCATAACAATGGCAAATAATAATTGTGAGATAAGATATCAATAATAATCATAATAATTATTATACCGATTGTCGCCCAATTTAGTTATTATTCGTGTTAGTCACGGTTAAACGATCTAATATATGATTCCACAATGTTATTTTTGGCAAAGGTGAAACTACCACAAACATATCATATAAAAATATATCATAGATTTATATCGTTAGTGATTTTATGTGAATTACATCTATAATATATGGACGGATCTATGATATTTAATAATTTATAATGATTAAAAGATAATCCTCGTGTTAGTCGTGAATATCAGTGAATATCAATCATATCTTCCAAACAAATTGACAAATGAATTACATTCTTAACGAACAAAAATGCCCACGCACTTCCTCTTGTGTTCCTCTTGTCTCTTTTAGTTTTAAGGGAAACCGGGGCACTGGGGCACTGTGTGGAACATTTTTGAGTTTGCCTCAATTTGAAAGGGTCTCATAATTATTACAAATATAAAAGACAAAAGCGCATGATCCTTCCAATTGTTTTCGAGAAGGCAGCGCTGCTGCCTTTCCGTCGTCATATCGCAAGCCGCAAAGTTTGGAGATATTAATAAATAAAAATGTAAACCGTTTTCTGAGAGATGTGACAATTTTTACTTTTTTTTTTGCCGTCTACTTAGTTGCATTCTTAAGTGTTAAATATTGTGTATGTCGAAGAGAACTTCTATTGTTGATTCTGTGATTTCAATAATCGTTCTATGTGAAGTTAGATCACGAAAGTTCGATAGGAAGAAAGTATGTATTCTGACTAGGCACTGTGGGACATACTTTACCGAGATACTGTGGGATTACACGACTCGAATTGTCCCACAATTCCACGATAGTAGTAGTTGATATTATAAATGGATTTGTAGTAAATATTTTACATTATAAGAATTACCATGGTTCGCAGTCGCCCTCCATCTGTGTGGGGCGAAGAGAAAGAAGGAAGATGTGATGAAGAAGAAGAAGAAGTTTTTGCTATCAAATGTTCCTGACCTTATCTATATAAAGGGTGTTAAATTAATATTGCACCGGCTAATTATTAGAGTGGTTCTAAGAAGCTTCAAAATATGTTGCATTTCAATGTTAATTTGTTCCTTATAGGTTAAAACTAATTTCAATATCCAGTGAACTGTTATTGTTTACTCGTACTTTTCTTTTTTTATTAAATTTTTCATCATCATTTTTGCCAGCAATAGTGACAATTTTTTATAATGCTTAGCCAAAAGTTGCAGAAAGTTAAAATTTTCGTTTTCGACTAGTTACACTGGGTTTTTGTTTGCCGCATTAGTGTAATATTATTTTATTTCCAATATTTTATAACGTGCTTATTAGACGTAGATCATAAGATTTGATGTGAAAAATCTTAAATAAAACATTCTAAAACGAAAAATATTTCTGTGTCCCATGGATTGGAGGGCCCATGGGATAGAGAGACACAGTGGATCAATCGCATATATTGATAAAAGTGATTGTGAACAACAAGTAAGGGAGACTAGAGCTAAGCTTGGGGTAAGTTGACAAATTTATTTCTGCTATTTTTTACAACAGATTACAAAATCGAGCAAGATTTCAAACATGTGAAAGATGGTTCTGAAATCATTATTTACTCGATTCTGGAACTTGTTAGAAAACAATAGAAATAATCAATTTTGCCAACTTACTCTTTAGGCAACTAGCCTCGATCTTCCTTAAAAAGAATTGGAGCTTAAAAAATCTGTTCATTGCTACTGATACTATACAAGGACTTCCCAATGATACTAGTAGTATCATAATATTTCAAAAACTATTAAGGACATCTACAAGTCTTAAAAAAAAAAAAAAGAGAAGAAGAAAAGAAAAGCGTTCCACAGTACTTCGGTTTTCCTTGCTAAACTTCTCCTTCGCTGAAATTTTATTATTTCGTTTATTCTTTCTCATGGAAGAATCCAATCTATCTATCTATCTGTCTGTATATCTACATATCTAATAACTTGGTTAGACCGAATGACTCTAACTAGAAGATCATACTCGCTTCATACGAGCTTCATTGTCATGTCATATCATGGCTGCTCTGTCAAACTATATTCGAACATCTGTCCGAGACACGCGATTCACACCATCACTAAGTAAGAGCAGCGGCGAGTAACCATGATCTCGAGATATCTACATCGTGTACATGAGAGATCGATAATTGAGAAATCATCTCCTGCGCTTCCTGCGCTTGCTCTTCCACTCGTTCAAGCGATCGTATTTGCGCACAGCCTGCCTGACGAATTCCTCAAGGTTCGGCCTGAATGTGATCGTCACTCGATCGGCGGCACGGCCGAAGTCGAAGGCGTTTGGAAACGCCCATGGAAAGATGAATGCAGCGACGCCGAGCACACCGGCCGCCATCGCAGCGAACGGTGCCGCGGCCAGACTGAAGAAGCTGTAACCCAACGGATTCAGAAAAGTGAAATACGTGAAAACCGAGGTTATCGATTGTAGAACACCGCCGGGGGTCATGTCGAAATCGTCGTCGTCATCGTCGTCATGGTGTGAAGACGCGCCAGCCGCAGAGCCAGTCAAGTGGCCGCTCGACGGCTTGCTCGGAGAACCCGGACGACTGGGGAGATTCAATGACGAGGGGAGCTCGTGCAAGGTGATATCAGACGGTATCAGACCGTTATTCGTCAGACCCATCATCGTGTGGTCGGGCTCGCTGAGTGACGACGGCTGGAAGACGTTCACGATCGTCGGCGCGGCAGGCGAGCCGCTCGAAGCTTCGCTCGCGACGTCGCCGACAGCTCCAGCAGCTGGCGACGCGGAACTCGACGCGTCATCGCCCACGCTAGAGCCGACGGATGAGCCACCCGGGACGCCGCCGTCTGCGCCGTCAAGCACTGAACTAATCGTCGCTTCCGTGTCTTTCAACGGGACGTATGGCACGGACACGCTGACCTGAGTGCCCTGGAACACCTCGACAGTCGACAGCTGTCCCGGGGAGATGGAGTCGTAGGGACTCGGGACTCCGAGGGGGTTCTTCTGGGAATCGTAATAGTCGCTTTCAACCGGTGTCGGATACGTCGAGCCGGAAAAACCGTCAGCAGCCGCGGTCACGTAGCTGTCGAAGGAGTTCTGAGGATGAGAGAGGTCGTCGACGACGACGACCCCTTCGTCGGCGTATTTGATATTCTCATCGCCATAGCTCTGAGTCACCACTGGTGGTGAGGTCGGTTGCTGAGTCTCAGTGGACTGTTGCCCGTTTGGTTTAAACATGTTTGTGTTCGCGAGAATGTGAGAGTTGATGATGATATTTAAATCAGTGCAGTCTTCTTTGCTTTGAATCGTGTTGTTCACACGAGTATAGGAGTTTATCATGATCGTCGGACAGTTCGAACCAGTCGACAATACAGGGAAGGTATTGTTTTCCTGCTTCGGAGGCGCCTTCATATCTTCATCCTTTTGAGAAGTGAACATTATGTGCACGTTGGGCCTTTGAACTGAGGAGGTCTCCTCGGAAAAAAAGGAAGAGGCCGCCTGGTCGCTTTGGACTGACACGACGCTCGATTGCGGCTCGACTCGCGTCACCGTTACGTTCGGTTTCTTCAGGTTTTCATTCAGGATGTGCACTACTGTGTTCTGTGATATGTGAGTCGTGGGGTTATAAATGGTACTGTTCTTCGGCAGCATCACCTCGGACCAAGTAGTAGTAGGGAGCAAGGGGGTATCAGGGGAGTTTACAATCGAAGGAGCCGTCGCATACTGGGGACGAAGTCCTACGACCGTAGTAGAAGGATTCGGTTGTTGGTGCGAGTGATAATTTGCGATCCTGTCGAAATCCTGACTGATCGTAGCTGCGTCCTGGTGCACTATGGTCTCATCGTAAACGCTCAGCGGCCGATTCGGTTCAAGATTCTCGTAGATGGACTCGACCGGCTTATGACTCATCTCATGATCGTGATGATGATGGAAGTGCGTGTTGCCCGACACGATCAACGACGGTATCTTCAGCCAATGGATAATCTTCTTGAGGCTGGAATCGAGCACCGGGTCCGAGTGATTGATATAGACGCCTTGCGACAGAATCGAAGCGGCGTCCTGAAAACCCGGCTCTTCGTTCGCCAAAGATGCGGTATACTTTTCGTAATTGTACAGATCGTCGACGTCTTGGAGCGCACCATTCGGCCAGTTCTTCGGCTCAGCTTCGTGATATCTTCTAACGACCGTGCCGTTTTGTTCTGCGGCATTTCGATCGCTGAAGCTCACGTTCTGACTCGGCAATTTCTCGCTAGCAGAGAAATGACGGTTCCTCGTCGCCTGCTCGTCGTCTGTCGAGTCGGGCTTCCTCTCCTTCGCAGCTGTCTGCGCCAAATGGCCGGCGCTCTTCATCGGTCGCTCTCCTCCGGTAAATAGAACGTCGTCATCGTACGCTTTTCGATTCAGCGCGTTGACGTTCGGCGGATTTCCGACGCGCGATCTGACAATGACCCGCGAGTTGAAACGCGAAGACGGCCGTCGGAGCCTGACGAAATTCCTATTAGACGTAATCTTTCTGCGAGACACGAGTCGACGACGACCGTGACCGACTCTTGGTTTTGATTTTTGAATCGCTTCGCACGATGAATTATTCAGGCCGTCGCGTCGAAAATCGTGGCGACGAGGATCGTCGATTCGCGACTTCACGTCCTCATAAGAAGCCACGATCGAGTCCACTCCGTCCGTTATTATTTTGTAGAGCGAATCGCGATTCCGACGAATCGAGTGATTAGCAACGTCTGTCCGACGAACATTAACTTGAACATTTGTTCCCTCTGTCACCGAGGGAAGAGAAGAAGAAGAAATGTGCGAACCTTGCTGTGCTTTTCGAAACGATACATTAACTCCAACCTCGACATTCTCGTTTGAAGACGAATTAGTTGCACCTAATATCCATCGATTCTCTCCACTAGCATCATCACGAGATATCACACCAGCAATATCCGTCACCTCGGATGACGCCCGATGATTACCCGAAAAATCATTTCTCGCAGGCGTGTATTTCACTCGAGACTTACTATAACTCTTGACGCCGGATTCTGACTTCTCCTCGAAACTCGTGTCGATCGCCACTCTTTGAGAATGACTCGCTCCGCCGAAGTAAGAATCAGGTTCTAACTCAGCAGGGCTCGCTTCATTCGACGCTAAGACAGATCTTATCCAATCTGTCTTCCCGTCTTGTCGAACTTTCACAGGATTTACGAAAGGATCGCGAAACGAAAATCCGCCCTGCTCCTCGCTTTTCGACATTCGGGCAGCAGCGATCTCCGAGATCCCATCTGACGTCGCTATATCGCCTGTTCTCGAAACATCCGGTGGGTCGCCACTGGCTTGATGAAATTCGGACAACGTCCAAATGTCATCGATTCTGGAGCGACGAACGCCGAACGACCGCCGGGCGACCATCTCGTTTGGTACGAGACCGCGTGAAACAGCGACTACGTTATGCTTGTCGCGCGACAAATTCGCGACACTATCGCGGAAATGTATAATATATTTTTTATTACTTCCGGAAGTCCCTGTATACCTGCTATCATCTCGAACAATGTCATGCGATGTCTTGTTTAAGGACCGGACGTTCCATTTTGCGTCATGAACCACCTCCGTCGCTTTCGGCGCTTGTGACGAATCGTCTGCGAACCGAGAAGAAAAAGAGACTGTTATAAAACCAATATTTAATTCATCTCTCCTCTCCATCGTAACAATAGAAACTCTACGCTTAAAATTCAATTAGTGTAAAAGTTCTATTGTGTATTATGAAAATATGTGGGAAGATCGACGACGAGAAGTTCCATCAATTCCAACCAAGACCAGTATTTATAATTAAAAGTTATTTACAATTCCCTTCGTGATTGCGAGAATATAATTGATTATAAATTTATATTCTCACCCAAGCCATTGTTCGGCTGTTTACGGCGAGTCAAAATTTTAGCTCTATATTAAATCTTTAATTCTCTACAACACACAGTAAGGACTAAAATAATACAAAATAAATCCAACAATTGTCGATTGTCTAATAATATATAATTTACTCCTATCCTATTTTAATGTCAAAATATACGATTTATGCGACTTTTAAATTTCCGTTCACGCTGTTTTAATGTCAAAATTGCTCAAAGTAGCGTTAAAATTAAATTTGTATAAATAAAAGTTCAGGAAAGAACATTAATACACAGCGAAAAATAAAATATTCATTTTAACATTTTTCCAAAAAGTCCGAGTCTTTAAAATTTATGTTGAAATGACATATTCGTCATGTTGCGTGTTACTTCTTAATACATCGAACAGAAAAAAGGAATTAATTATTTGACACATTTTATTCTATATATTTATACATATATTGTTTCAACTTAAAGTACGATGGTAGAATAACACAAAAAATAGTTGGAAATTACGAGGAATAATTAAAGTAACTTGTAAAAAAATGTTACTGGAATATATGTTTATCCATATGATGTGAATAAAATAAATGTAATATTTTAACATAATTCTGAAGAACACATTTCCCATATGTTATATTATTGACATGGTTTTTAATCAATTTTGACTATTTCATGTGTTAGTTTATAATTATTTGAAGATTTACTTTAACTTATGTTAATGTTGAAATAACTTTAAAAAATGTTAATTTTCTGAAATAATTAAATGAAAATAATTCAAAATAATGTTTAATTTTTAAATGACAAATGATAAGAAATAACAAATTACTAAATTCATATAAATTTAACACTTGAAAACATTACGAAAATAATAACGTATGAGTGCTGTGTGTGTGTTAATTTAACATTGAGACATTAGTCAAAAGTCGGTAACGCAAGAAAATTTTAACATTTAGACGAAAGACTGTGTACCAGTTTTATCGTTAAAATAGGTTTTTATTAGTCCTTAATATTAAGTAGACGTAAAACGTCTAAGACGTAAACTATTGACACATTCGCTGCTACGTGAACCATCGTGTACGCACCAGCTTTTAAGCCGTTCAGGCCGCGTTTCAAATATTTTCGTTATTTAAATATAAATTATTGTATAATATGGTCGTATTATCATGTATGAATGTACGGATCATTTTGATCGACTACGAAGAATCTAAGAAAGATTACTTAAAATAATATTAATTATAAAATCTGATTTTGAATATCGGCCTTTGAGGTTCGAGCCGCAATGTCAATGAGATTTTCGCGACATTTATAATAATAATGCGCCAATGATCGCCGGTTGTGCGATCCATCCTCGACGTTAACGCTCGGCTGAAACGCCGAGGTTCTCTGAATGACATCGTTTCTAATGATTGCAACGAGCAAGCACTTCCCGGACACATATTGCGACATTCAATTTTGTAAGAAAAGTGACGTAATACCGATCACATTACGTCGCACACGAACAAATAGCAGATTAGGAATTGGATACACATGGTTCATTAGCCGCGATTACGATCTGTTAATAAGGTATCAATTTTGCGATGGCAAATTTTTTCCCGGGGTTCCGGCTTGCTAATGTTACGCGACATCGTTCCGTTCCTTCCTCGCTCGCGTAATCTCTCTCTCTCTCTCTCTCTCTCTCCTTCTCTCAAACCAATATATAATCGTCTCCCATAATTTTTGTTATGAAACCTACCATTTTTCTGAGGTCTGGTGTCACCAGATCCTGCGACCAGCAGGACCACCACCAACTTGAACATCTTCGTCCGCATTTTCACACTGAAACAAGAATATATAAGAAAATGTATTCAAGGTAAAATTAGATATACATAAAGAATGGAAATTACACATAAAGGCCACGCATGAGAACTTGCGCGCGCAATTATTATAGCGTAAAATATACATTTTGATAATTGCGCGTCAGTTTTTAATTGATTATCAATAAAATATTTTATGTCTGTAAATATCACACATTTAATGTAAAAATTACGTTGAATAAAAAAAATTATCTATGAATTTTACGGTATTATTGAAAACTATGTTGCAAAATGAAGTACTACAAATTAGAAAAGAAATAAAAAATCTTAAGATTCCGAAAAATGCGTGTACGTGTGGACTGTCCTTGACGGATCTAAATTCAAACGCTGAACCTGATCTTGAGCAATGATCTTATTGATCACGAGAATGGACTGATGTCATCGGAAACTATGGGTCAGTGAGGAAAGAATTCGCCGGTCGCAAAAACAAATTCACAATCGAGCGGACCTACGCGATCGCACGCGCGGTAAAAAAAAGGTCGCTCGCCGGCCGGAAATGATGATGGAGCAAGTCGAAGTCCTTAATTTTCGCCCTGGTGGTGAAGACGCGATGCTTGCATCAACATTCACCGAAAGCAATGAACGTCTGTCGCAAATTAGAATTTGTGTTGTCACTCCCTCTTCATTGCATCATGCGTTCTCACATGTCCACACGTTTGCTCTCGCAATATTTTTTTCATAACGTAATGCGCGACGATTAACGTTAATATTTGCGGAAATAATAGCGCTGTTGCAACGAAGATTTGCACGAATGTTTGCGGTTATGTATCGATGTTTCCCCGTTTCGCGATAATCATTTCTCGAGGAAATCGTTACGATATTTTAATGATTTCGAATATTTCAATCATGCAATTATTTCATTAAGCACACGTGAGACATTTCTTTGTATCTTTTTACTATCTGCGCTATTCTCCAATTTATTTCAAAGACATCAAATGAGTTGAAAACAAATCGTGAGACGTATTCGTCGGGACAACAAGAATTACGCAATTGTTAATTCAGCAATTCTCTCTCTCTCTCTCTCTCTCTCTCTCTCTCTCTCTCTCTCCACGCGGGCCACGAGATTCGAATCTTTTATTACCGATTTGTCGACCAAGGTTTCGCTCGAACGAACCGTTCGTATTCGATCCTCTTCCCCGATTGTTCCAATCGTTGACGCATGTAGAATACAAACGGCGACATTATTTCACCCTCGTTGACGCTTACGCGCAACTGAACATTCAATGCGATTAACATCTTGGATGTAGAATTTTACGTAGATGTTTATCGAAAATCATGCGGATAACATCGACAATAACTTCAATCAGCTGTTTACAAACCGAAGAGACGTCTCTTCCTTTGCACGCGTTAAAATCTCCATGGAGATTAAGGTTTACTTTTTCACTATATACATCTGGATCGCGGTAGATAGGAGTCCGTCAAGTCTCTCAAATATCAAATGTTTTTGTATTGGAATATGTGCAGTATCCATCACGATATATATACAACAAATTAAAACTTTTTACTATTATATAATTTTTAGGCTTTCACATATAAGTTCGACACTACCATAATTAGAGTCGTTAGAGCTCTACAATTATAATTAGAGTTATTTCTGCAATTTTCAACTTTATGCGTTATGCGTAAAATTGAAAATCGTATAACTCTCTATCCAGGGAATGGTACAGCATACATGAATCTGACATAGTAAATTTTACGTAAACGTAAATGAGAGATAAATATGAATTTGGTGAATGTACCACATTTGACGGAAAATCTAACTAAGATGTATAAACATTGTTCTGCAAACTTTTCGTATTTTTTTGCTCTTCAAATGGAGAAAGTTTAATAAGAGAACATTTTTGGGCCCCTCCGATTTCCATTAAACAATATTTTTGTATTGTATGATCATTAGGAATGTTAAGAACAATCATTCGATAAGAAGAAACTCGACCCATAATTAATTATTCTAGTTTTGATACGTCACTATGATATCTAGGTTTTTTTTCTACGTTTCTTTCTTCGATGTTTATCAAGTTCATCAACAGCATCACAGCTTAACACTAATAAATTGATGGTCCACTCCTGACAACAGTGAAAAACAACCTTTACCACGGACCACCGATCAATATAAAGTCTCGTCAGCTACTCTACGGAGTCTACGTGAACCATCGGCCAACGAGGTATGATGAAATCCATGGAATTTACTGGTTGATTGTCACATATGGACGTTCTTTTACCGTTACATTTTTCGTTCATATTTATGTCCACTAACGGTACCACATCGATCGATCTTCCACAAGCATCCTATGCATGTGACGTCCAGTGCACCTCACAACGAGAATCGTTCAGCGATCGAAATGCGAAGCGCTGGATATTATTTGCCGGTGGAACCGTCGTAGAATCCGATGCGCGCGAATTCTACGACGACGAGTGACCGCGCATACCGTTAACCATTTGGACATGTTACTTCAAGCCGGAAAGCCGTTCGTGAAGTGACTTCATCGAGTAGCGGATAATACGGGCCCGATATAGACAGGCTCCAAATTCCGAATGAACACACCGACGCGTATACGCGTACGTGCATGTTCCCTTATAAAAAATCTTCTTGATATCTAACTGGGATCCAGTCTAATTATGATTTTCCACTAACTAAATTATAGATTCTAGTTGAGAGACCTGCAGAGATTCAAGCTATGTAAAAGTGTAAAAGTATTTCTAATATACGCAAATTTGAACGGGAAATTCAAACAAATCCCACTTGTTTTCCTCAACATGACTCAAAACACTTCTTTATTTTCATTTTATATTAGAATGGAACAAAATATGTGAATTTACAAGTATAATACCTTATGCATAAATATAAGATTAAATATAACATTTTTATGTATTAAAAAAACAAAAGAGGAAAAGAGAAAAGCGTTTCTACAATATTTCTGTTTGGATTCTAGACGGAGAGAGAAATCATGTTTGAAATACGAGGATCATTTGAAAAAAGGGTCCTTTTCGTCCTGATCAAGAAAGAGTAAGATTTGCTTCACAATTCTATTGTAGTCCGACAAATAACACTGACAAACATCTAAATTTTTAGGTCATTCTGGCATCTAGTTTTTCTATAATAGTCTTTCAAATTGAACGGCTGTTACAGTTTGTCAACAATGGGCAAAATCGAATATCGTACTGTGATAAAATTCCTTCATTTAAAAGGAAAATCCTGATCAACCGAGATCAAAGCCTAGTTAAGCCGCGGTGTATAACGGAGAAAAGTCTTCTTCGTTTTCCACAATAAAAACGTAGGCTACTGAATTTAATCGTATCAACATTTTCGATGAAGAACGCGCTTTGAACGTCCAAAAATAGCAATAACCAACGAAAAGATTGGCTCGTCAAATCGTGATGGACCTTTAACGATATAGCAGAGGTTGTTGACATTTCATCTGAACGTTATCCTACATAAACATTTAAGTATGAGAAAGTTGAATGCACGATGGATGCCACGTTTACTGATTCAATTGGACATTTCAGAATCACGTTTTGGAAGCGCAATGAAAGCGCAATTTTTTGTGACGTTTTATAACTGTTCATGAGACTTTCGTTCACCACTATACACCAGAGATAAAACAACAGCGTGGAGATAAAACAACAACAAAATAGTGTGGTATTCAAAGAGTGAACTAAAGAAGAAGGCGAAAACGGTGTAATCACGGCAGTGATGGTCGCGTAGTGGCTATCACGAATCGCTGATAATTTCGTGGAACCGTTGTACGCAACAATAATAATTGCTATTATATGCGCGGCTCTTTTTATTTACGCACTGACTATTTTCGATGGCAAGCGTGGCGTGGCAATTTCCCGTAACATTGCAGTGCAAACAGAGACGCGGCAATGCGAAGAAACGTTGTTTCTTCCATCGTATCTATTTTATATTCATTAAAATAATATAACGTCAAATATAATCTAGACATTAGTTTCGCCTAAATTGCAACAGATAAAACTAGAGAACGATAACATTTTGTCAATCCATTAATAGCGACACATTCCAGCACACACGTGCACATGCGTAAATAACGTTGATAGAAACAATAAGACATGTTCGATTGACGGAAAATCATTTGAGAGAAGCAAGATTCCGATCACGAAGCGGATCGATTCATGCTAGAATGTTAATGGCAAAAGAGACGTAGGAACATATCATCGCACAAGGAAGGTTCTTTCCGGAACGCTGAGCGCCAGCGGAAAAGATCGCGCGCAATAAAGATACGCTATTTAACTAACAGATTTGCGCTGTAACGACTCATCTCGGATGATAGCTTCGCCGTTCAGAATTAGATCACGGCAGGTAAAGAACGAACGGAAAGAGAACGCGCGATCATCCGCGAAAGAGAGAGATCCGGCCGTTTCAGCCGATAAATCGCGATTAATCGGCCAACCGGATCTGATTGTTCACGAGATCGCGAGATATCATTACTGGAGCGAATATGTTACTCCTTGTAAGCCACCGCATCTCGCAAACAATAGAAAGTTCTCATGAACGCCTCTTCTCTTCCTTAATTTGAGGTATCATTAATAATGATAACGTCTGCTGACGTTCGCGTCGCAAAAGCGTAACGGCTTATCTCGCGCCGCAGAGAAGGTAGATTTTATTGCCACAGAGAGAGAAAGACATTCCCATTGAAGCGTGAAAGACCAAATAATTCAAGCTGTGCCGCGGGACATAGGGTAGAAGAGGAAACGAACGAAAATTGAAAGTACTTGCACTCGCAAGTGAGAAACGTAACAACTATTTTCCCTTTTCTTCGGAGATTTTGCGATCTCAGTGACGTTGTGCGCGCGCATGTGTGTGTGCGTGTGTGTGTGTGTGAACACGTGCGATAATTTCCTCGTCAGATGGACGAAAATCGCACAATCGATAAAAGACGTTCGAGATTTCGCCGAGTAAATTGAGCAGAAGTGGGCCGTTGGAGTCGATTAGTATAATCATCGGGATTATTAGCCGGGTCTTTTTAGAGTGCAGCCCGTTAGTAAGCTCTTGCTCTCAAAACGATCCCGTTGCATTTGATTATCGGGTAATGAGAATAACGATATATTCATGAAACGCCGAACAAGTATAGTAGTAATGGCGCAAAAAGAGGAACGGGGAGAGAAGGAGGAGAAGCGACAGGAAGTGAACGCGAGCCGTAATGAGATTACAAGTGCGATCTGTCAGCAGTACTCTGAACTTGATACAAGTGCGCTTGTTCCTTTTCTTTTCCGTCGCAATCTCTTATTTGCATTACTCTCGAAGAGCAACGTTTGCTTCGAGATTGGATTGGAAGGAAAAACGATGTAACGCGCGAGTACGTTAGTAGATCCCGCTGGATCGCGCAAGAGTCGTTGAACCTTTTTCAAAGTTTTCAATCAAATTTCGCAACGACGCAATCGTCTCTTGTAAATTTCGATTCGACAAGCGGACACACGTATTTTTCTTACGCTTTATATTTCATGGAACAACCTTACGCTCATGTAAAATGCTCGCTGGTACAAAATCGAGCATTCGGCCAATTTGCAAGCTCGAAGAGCCATATATATATAAATAAATAATTAGCGACCATCGATTAAACTAATTAATATTGAGAGCTTTTCTTACCTATATCTCTCAATAAACCGCTTGACCATGCATCGGAGCACACGAGACGCGATTAGCACACACACACACACATACACACACCCACACACACACACAACCCGGAGCAATCTCGCGATCGGGAGCGACTTTATCCGACGACGACACTACCACGCGTTGAACTCTCTGGTCGCGACAACACCGCGACCACGTGTTGAACTCTCTCAAGTACGGACAATCTGTGAAACGAAACCACCGCGATATATCGGATGACACCGGAGACTCGCTGACGTTCACGCGACGCGAGGAAGAAGGACGAGAACAGGAGAAGAGCAGGAAAACAGCCGAACAAGAAAGAAGACAAGGCGCGCGCGCGCGACCAGCCCGGACGATCTTTCGACAATGGTGCACGGCTGACTGGCTACTCGACAAGCCCCGTACTCGGCCTGGAGAAGGTTGGAGAAGGTTTAGTAGGCAGGAAGAGCGTCTGCCGTCGTTGCTGCCGCATGCACGGTGCACCGTCCGCCGCCGCTACCACCGCCGCTGTTGCTCGCCTAGCCGCGAGGTAAACGTGACGAAGGTGGAGCGCCGCGCGCGCGGGCCTTAGGACCCCGTTACTCCGCTGCTACGAGATCCGCCCGAGTTGAACAACCTTCGCTCCCGTCGCCAGATATAACGCGCGCGCGTATGCTAAGTGCGAGTGAGAGAGCGAGCGAACACCGCTCTTCCGGACGATCGAAGTGGGTGAACCTTGTGTGTAGATGCTGATACGGTATCGAGACGGGACGTTCTTCGGGAACGTAACTGGAACGGACGTGGAGGACCTACGGAGTCGTCCTTTTTCCCGTGTTTATGCGCGTACGATTGCGGGACGAGTCGTCGAAACCGACTGTAACGGGTCTCTCCTCGAGAGAGTAACTTCGTAACGTTCAAGAACAAGAGCTTCTATTCTTGAAATATATACGTCACTGCGCGGATATAATTATATCATAAAATAGCTGCGTAACAATATTTACACGTACATGTGTTTCACGAATAGGGTACGTATCGTAGTGAGCGCTCGAATTTTCACGAACGCTGATATCGCACGGCCGGTCCACCAGAGCAAGCGCGTGAATATCAATCGTAATGCGATAAGCATCAATTGCGAGCGAGAAAAGGCGGAGGAGACGCGATGTCGACCGACGTCCTTGACCGTCTTTTATGGATTTTCGTGAATAATCGGAAGGAATGAGTGCATCCCGGGGTGCGCGTCTGATGAAGTCAAACGCACAAACGACTAACGTCGATTAATGACGCCGGCCGGCTGTCTGTCAATTACGATCTAGCCTAACAATTTGATGAGAGATGTCGTCTTCGATGAAAGGCATGTTTAAAGCAGGGAAAAAGAGCTTGTTCTATCGTCGGAATGCGAGCAGCGAAGAGCGTTGCTACAAGGTGACTCCCGACCGTTGGCGACAGTCGGGGGAGAAGCTGAAGAACGGAACACGGTACTCGAATGTTGCCGGTCTCGTTGCCGTGTAGAACCGGTCCATAGGAGAAGGAACTTATGGTGCGCCTCTTTCTCAGTCGACAAAAGCACCATGCGTGCGTCCTAATGCCGATGATGACCAGAGGTCGTAGTGCGTACCAGTGATCCACTTGTTGCGTCTTCACGCGCGCGGATAAATCGGATGTTTATTCCAACGTGGTAAAAGAAATCAAGATATAGAAAGAATCAAGATGCAGAACAATAAAGTTACAAAAATTAACCTTTCAATGAGCTACGGGGGAAGAGGTCCTTGAAAATGATTCCACTGTTCTGTTCACTGTAGTGATTTGTACTGACAGATTTTTCATTTATTGTACTATCAAGTTAAGGTAGTTAAATAGATAGTTTAGTTAAAATCATTCCAGTGTGAAGACAACCGAAAAAATTATTATATTTTATCATTTTTTTCCCCATAGAAAGAACTATCGAGTTGAAATTTTTACACTATATTTTTCTATATAAAAACTCTTAAAAAAAAATTTGATTGATATTCTCTTGCCAAAGCTGTGCTAATAATAAATCATATTTATAAATTATTTAGTACAGATTTGCCGAGTTTCTTCATAATGTATTATTATCTTTGTAACAGTATTGTCACAAACTAACTATTTTAAGTGAAAAGAATCCGTTTATCAACACACACAGTTGATCATAGTCTATAATTTTATTTATCAATGATTTGCAATTAGATTGTTTTGCAAACTTTAACTACGAGGGCGGTCTGATAAATAGAAGGATTTACGCATGGTGGCACCACTGCAACAAAATCGGTTTTACCATCATATAGCCCCATTTTTCAAACAATGCCTGTCAAAATTTCAGCCTTATCCGTCCATTAGTTTTTTGTTGACAGACAATTCAAGTGAACGCCTCAGCCATTGTCGTCAATATGGAAAAAGAGCAAAATCGTTCGGTGATTCGTTTTCTTTATTTGGATGGGAAAACGTGTGAAGAAGTCCAAGAAAAATTGGAAGCCGTTTACGGGGGCATTGCTTCTTCGAGAAGCACTGTTTTTAGATAATACGCCGAGTTTCGTCGTGGTCGCACATCCGTCGTTGATGATAACCGTCCCGGGCGGCCAAAAGAGGTTATTATCAATGATTTTGTCGAAAAAGTGCACGATATCATATTGGCCGACATATTGCGCCCTCGTATATTTTTTTTATTAGAAATAGCCAAACACGTGTCACGTTTAATCAAAGTATTTACCACTTTCTACCACCTTTCAAGTAATTGTCTCGATTCCGCAGAATACCGAATCATCTTGCAAGTCTTGCAATCTGAATCATCGCCGCGAACTTTCGCAAGCCCTTTGTATATCATTTTATCGTTGTTATTGCCAACTGAGGTCGTTTTGCGGTGTCAAATAAATGTTTCAGAAGGTCAGGCTGCTTAGACTATTAGAGGCAATTAATTTCCGCGTTCGTTTCTTTGCCGCTCGATTCCATCGAGCACTTCTCACTGGCGAAATCAGTCCAGCTTATCGGCCCGGGGCTTAAAAGCCCGGAAAAGTATCCACGCGGCCAAGCGCAGCGAAATGCGAAAGTGCGATGCGTGCGAAAACATTCAGGTCTTCCTGCTTCTGATAAGACCCAATATGCGCCTGAGATTACAACTGAAAAACACCGATGCCGGCAACTATGTCGTGCCACTAGTTCAGTGCAGAAGATCCAAAAAATCTCCGATCTGCGCGTAGCCAAAGCCGGAAGCGTTATGTATGTAATAACCGAACCGAGCGTGCTGGTTGTCCCAGAATCATCCTCCTCGGCCTCGGCTTTATGTGGGACATAGCGGCACTTCTTGCGGGCTTAGATACCTTCGCCGGTTCCGCGCATCGCCAACGTCATTGCCGAGGAGGCATTTTTAAATTAAGTCCGCCGGACCCAGGTAGCTAAAGCTGAGCCCGAGTTGCCTCACTCGCGATAAAAAGTAACGAGTCAAATCAACGACGCGAATTGACGCCGCTGACGTTCGACATCGACGACGAATCTTAAATAATACGCGTTGCACTCATTAATTCGACAAGTTAAACAATAGCCCCAAATTTCCACAGCGTCTTTTTCAAACAAAACTATCTTTCAGACACTTCGACATAGTTTTACAGGGGAATGAAATTTTCGATCGTCCTATAAATAATCGTTCATATTATTATTTAGCGGAATTGCGGATTTACTAAAATTTCTTATGGAATGAAATTTACAAATTAGTTGTAAGATAGTTAAAAATACGTTATAAATTCAAAGTTAGTGAATATTATTATCTCGAAAGAAAAAATACGTAAGAAAATATTATATTTTATAAGCATTGAAGAGGTCGGAAAATACAGATCGATGATTTTATTGGCTCAAAGCCGCTATATTTTTTTCAAGAGGGAGTCAGTTGCCCGATAGATAGATGAAGAAAAGTATTAGAAAATAATGGCGAATATATTTCGAAGATGATTGGCAAAGTTTATTATTTTTTTGTAAATAAAGGCTCAACATCTTCGAAAAAAAAGTATTGAATTATTTTGCGAATCTAATTAATACATCTACAATAATTGTGCTTATGGAGAAAGAACTATAGCTTTTATGTTATATATATATATATATATGTTATATCAGTCAATTTCATCAATCATTGCAATACCTTTAAAATAGTTTATTAAACTCTCGTTAGTTTACCAAACAGTATGTATATTAATTTTACATTCAAAATTCGTATAGCTGTCACCTTTATAGTTGTTATGACATGAATGTATTTTTCTTTGAGTATGATTTTATTTAATAAGAACATGCGTCCCATAAATAAATCGTTATATTTAATAATAACAATGAAATAGTACATGCTATGTTCAATCAAAGTATTCGCCAATATTTCCCGCCACTTTCTGTCACCACCTTCAGTCCATCATATAACTTTGTCCGATTTCGTGCGTGTCCGACGTGTTCGTAAAATTTTTCCCCTTTTTTCGAGCCACTAAAACGCCATCTACGATCACATATCCTTGATTGATATTACGGATTAAATTGAACTATTTTTCTTTTTTAAATCTAGAGTTACCAATGCACGATTACCTGCCGGATGGAAGGAATGATAACGCGTAATTATCCAACCACCGAGATGTTCATCGAGTTGGTCACTGAGCACTCGTTTACTCGGCGAAGCCGCAACGCGAGTAAGCTCACGACGTTTCCGGTGCCGGAATACCGATTTCGGCGATGTGCCTTGCATAATTAACACTGAACCTCGTGAACTGACCTTCAGCTGTTGCCGAGTGTAGATTATCGCCGTGGCGGCATTGGTCGTGAAACTAATGGAATAAGATCACTCATAACGCATGAACGAAAAAAGGAAAAACAGAAAAGCGGATCGAGTCCCCGTGTATCGTTTATCCCGAAAAATGCGTCGTCAAAATTTTTGACCGCAATAATCCGGACGTGCAGGTAATACAGTCGGCGTGAACGCGCAGGATAACGTAGAGAGGAGGATAATAACGACGCGTCGACGGATGTGTAGCCGTCACAGGAAACGATCGAGTACCGGTATCTCAGCGACGATGTGGTAATTGGCACCTCCGCCGCACTCCGTCGCATCGTTCGCTTTCTTTCCTTTTCTTCTCTCTCTCTCTCTCTCTCTCTCTCTCCCTCTCTCTTCTGCTTCTTCTTCTTCTTGTTCTCTCTTGTTCTCCTTAAAAAATCGTACGAACGCGTGCATGTGTTTCTTTTCGTTGTCTAAGGCGCTATTAGCACGTTGGATACATCATCGGCTCGGGCTCATCTGCTGATGCTGCTTTAATAATGTATCACAGCCAGCAACGTGTTAAATCGTAATATATAATTTATTAAATTATGCGCCAGGCGCCCATAATGATGTACATACACATGCACACACGCA